TAATCTTGATCTATGGATCTGGTGGGTGAATCCTCGATGTCTCAGATGCCTCATTTGCTAGTTCTTCAACTGACTATTGATCTTCCTTTGATCGGGTTAGCTACTCCACGACACTCTATCACAATGCAACTCACTCGACTAACATATGTCTTCAATAGACATAATTATGTATCATGGGTCTCTGCATTCAAACACTTATTGATGTTGCACAACCTTCTTCACCACTTATCGAATGATCCACCTGGTCTCACTAATTCGTCCTTTACATCATGGTCTCAGCTTTATTCAACCATCCTTACCTAGATGTTTCAAAGTTTTGAGCCGAATATTACTAAACCTCTTGCTCGACTTCACCCTATGCAATAAATTTAGACGACATTAGAGAACATGTATGTCAATCGAACAAATATCAGTCGTATAGTCAAGATCTTTGATTTTCTTCTTGCTTGCAAGTAGGGTGACTCTTTACTTCAAGCTCATTTCAATCATCTCTAGGCCTTAATACATAAGATTGCCATCTATTAGCCTCTGACAATTGACCCCTAGGCATTTGAACGCTATTGTTAGGAGTTTCTTATCGAAGTCTAAGTGGACTTCACCCATCGATTACCTCTCAGATTCATGAGATGATCATCTCCAAAGACTGAGTATCTAATATCTATTATATTTTTTCCACTACACTTTGTGTGAGTACAAGCATTCCTCCTACTATTTTCAGTGGCATATCTACTCTTTCAGTGATGGTCGTCTCCACTCCTCGAGTCACATAACTCTCCTATTTTGAGACCACATAGTGGCCATTCATCACAAAAGAAGGGCCGCAATTCTTTTCCTCCATGTATCTACTATGGTAAGTAGAACTACTCTTCTGACAAATGTTAGAAATAGTTCATGAAGTCCAACTCTGTCCAACCAGCTCTCCTGCCTTCTTCACCAACTTCTCTAGTACTATTCAATGTTCTATATTTGACTTTTCAAATGGCATTGACTTCTGTTGAGTATGAAGCACTATGCTACTCCAATGACCCCATGACTCATTCTTCGGCCAATCTAACCTCATTTTCGAATCCTTCTAGTTAGGTACACACACTCTCCTTATATTTTTCATCTTCACCATAGATTATTAACTCAGTAGCCTCTGCTTACATGATCGGCACACCCATCATTTTATCACGTATCAATCTACCCCTCATCATCCACTGGTTACCATTATCGATGGCTAGACTTATCTGGTCAACGAACATGGCAATATCATTGTTACCCCGAATATTCTTCTCACCTAGATTTTTTATATTCTCAAATGTTATGTTAACCTCTTATCTATCAATGTCATTATTTGAACCATCTTTGTTCCGTCACATTTTTCTCTTTCATTATATCTTATAGGATCTATATATCAGGCGGAGGATTGGTTTGAGATGTGAGAATGTATGAAGTGTCTACGAGCTAATTTCTGATGAACCTTCTTTTGGCCTTCAAGCTCTTTTTAATTCCTCTATGACCACTTCATCTCTTTTGTGATATCATCATTTAAAATACTCTTATTTTGAAAAACTTTTAAAAAAATTATCTTAAATTTTTCTTAATAAGTTTGTATGTGAGTTATGTCAATTAGGTAAACACCATCGTGGTTCATACTCAAGTCGAGATGAAATTCTATCTATAACATCATTTGACCTCATTCATTGTGATGTTTGGGGTCTTTCTCGTACTCCATTTGTTTTGGACTATCATCACTATATTGTCTTTGTTGATGACTACACTTGGGTGAATTGTGTTTATCTTTTTCAAAATCGTGCCCAAGTTCATACCATAGTTGTTCACTTCATTATTGAGGCCATTATTCAATACTCTATTATATTCAAGATTCTTCGTATTGATAATACTTTGGAGTTGATCTAAGATTCACTTTGCACATTTTGTGCTAATCATGATATTCTTCATCAAATCATGTGTCCATACACATCTTAACAAAATAGTGTTGTCGAACAAAAATATCACAAACTACTTGACATTATTTACATACTATTCATTGAGATGAATATTCTTTATTATTTGTGGTCTGGTGCTCTCTTAATAGCTACATATCTTTAAAATCGGCTTCTTTATGCTCCATTTAGTGGGGTCATTTCACTTCATCATCTTTCACTTGAGTTTTCTCTTTTTTTTCTTACCCCCTTGTGTCTTAAAAAAAGGCTTTTGCTCTCTTCAGTGGAGGGATTTTTATAGAGAGGTGAGTCAAGAGTAACCTCCTACTTCGTCTAAGACCACTCTTCTTCTCTTTCTAAATTAGCGCATTATACTCTCAAAGAGGTCTTTGTTGTTTATTCACGGACACAAAAGAGTTATTCATGTTCTTGATATTTTATGAATAACGAGTATTTTTCTATTTTTGAATGTGAAATTAGCGAGATTAAAAGTTGATTAATGAGCATTGAGCTATTAAAACAAGGTGGAGACATTCACGACTAACCTCATGTCATGTATATGAATTTCAAACACATATTCATCCCTCGGTCAATGTGAAGATGGGTTGACTATGTTTCTCTCTATCCTTCTTATCATCTTATTTCTCTCTCTCTATCTCTCTCTATCTCTCTCTCTCTCTCTCTCTCTCTCTCTCTCTCTCTCTCTCTCTCTCTCTCTCTCTCTCTCTCTCTCTCTCTCTCTCTCTCTCTCTCTCTCGTGAGACCTTTTTCTCTCTTCGTCTCATGTGAGATTTTTCTCACTCTCTCCCTCTCTCTTTTCTTCCTTCCCTTCTCTACTTCCATTCTTTTATTCTTCTCATCTCTCACTTCTATTTTATTATTTTTGTTAAATATTGATAAATATTAAAATCACTATATATATATTAAATCAATTTTTTAAGATAGATTAATTAATCTCTTAATGTTTGACCAAAAACTTAGTTATAATAGACATTTAAACACAACGACAAGTGCACATCAATTACATCTCATATTGAATGAATTAATTTTATTTTCTTATTACATTCTCTTCTTCTTGAGATCCTCTTAGTGAGAAAGAGTTGATTTGATTGAAGAGTAGGTAGGGATTTGATTTTTTAATCCCTAGAGTGACACTAGATTGATCTTAGGATAGAATTCAATCCTTTTACCCTTCTCTTGCTTCCTTTAATATATGTGGATCTCTTAATTTATCAAGATTGATCACATTTCTAAGAGTGAACAAGGTAAGACAGATTTAGGATACTTTAGATCCTCCTTTCGATCCTTCTCTTTCTATATTATTTTGCTCCTTTGATTAATCAAAGTTGAGAATTAATTGAAAGTAGAGAGGGATAAATAGAGATTATGAAGTAATTTAAAAGTAGATTAGTCTCATTTAGTCTTTCTATTGATCTCCTAGGTGACATAGAAAGATCTAAGAAGATTAGAGTTTTTATTTACTCAAGTTAAGGTTAAGAAATTCACAATCACCTCACATTTAATCATTTATTTCACACCTGATTTTCTTAAGTGATTAAAAAATCATCAAAATAAGATTGATCTATCCTTCCCCTTAGTGTGCCTAAATCAACTCTCTTCTATTTTCTCATCACATTCTTCATCAAAAATTAAATTGTGATCAGAAGTTTAATATCTCCTTAGTTTAAATGATTCTTTATGGTTTGACTCAAATACTCCTTAAACTACTTGGTAGTATCATTAGAAAGACATCCGAACATGTTTTTTTTTTACACTCATTAATTACTACATTTATGCTAAGCCTTTGTCAACTTTAAATTTTATTTAAGTAAAACTCAATAATTACTGATAATGAGTGATAAGTTATGATGATGACAACTTATAATGGTTGCTAAGACCAGCATACATCCAATAAATGATGGTTTTTAATTGCATAAGACAATTCAAGTGAAATATAATGATAATTACATATAGGAAAAGTGATAGTGCATATAATAGTGATAGTTATACTAAACAATCCTAATAGCAATGACTTTGATGTTTCATAATCTTAATTATTGATGAATAAATATATCAATAATGAGCTCAGTGTTATGAAATAGAAATTTAAATAAGCATTCAATTTATGCATCAATAAATGATAGTGTCCATTGCTGACCCATTTTTGCAATAAGTGGTCAATGATTAAGATGAGGCAATATTGACTGATGATTATGTGCTATAATACATAATGTTGTACTACAAAAGAATTTTAATGTGGAAACCAAATCTTTTGAGGTTTTTAAAAACAACATGAAATATAGTTCTCAAAATATTCTAACTTTAACAATATATATCAATAACTTTAGAAACCACCTAAATTTGACAAAGTTTTGATTGTCGACTAATCATTATAATCTTCCATAATTTGACATAATATTTAAACTAAATAATTATATTTTACTTTCACATAATGTTATTTCAGAATGAATGGTACATATATGTGCATATATGAGATAGAGAGAGTAGCAAAACAATGTGACACTCACAAATATACCTAGAAAACCTAATACCAAAAAATCGAAAATAGAATAATATCTCCTATGAAAGAAACACCAAGTTCATCACACTTGAACTCTACCTTTAATACGCCCATTTTACAAGACTCTTAACTGATAAATTTTTCCTTTTCATCTCAAACTAATCATGATTAGAAATTATATCCTTTGTCAAAGGATAAGAATGTTACCCATCTACCAAGGAAAATACAATCTCATCTACCCACAGATGACTCTCCATACAGGCCCATGTTGACTATTCCCATCAATATGAAAAATACTAGGTCTAGTCATTACCACTGGATACATCATTCTATTTAATACGTCAAATTTGGCTTATCTCAATTGGCTTCAAACACCAGAAAAAGGTAGTTGGCAATTTCCGTGCCAAAACACTTCTGTTCCCAGCAATACATTATGATAATTTCAGCTCTCACCTGCAATGAATGGGAAAGAAATTAGAGTAGAGTGGCAGGAATACTAACTCAAATAAATTGAATTTATCAAGAAAAGGTCCGGTGTTGGGCTCACCAAGTCAACCTTGCTCGCCGAGGGCTTTTTGAAATATCCTGGTAAATGCCTTCTCCACACACAGCATCAGCCGCTGCTCATCTATGAAGCCCTTTTCTGTTCCGAAGGTCACTCTCAGCTTGCCCATATAACTTATCATCGTAATCGTTAAGCTCTGCATATTGACAATTCGTCAAGCTTCTTTGGAATACAGCTCCAAAAGGTCTCCCGAATAAATATCCCGACAGGATGATCTTACCTGAGGAACACCCACAACCATGAAGTAGAAGCTTCGAACGTTATGGCCCGCAATCTCAATCTGATCCAAAGGCCCAATCATGTTTGATATCGTCATGCTAGTGTTTCTCAGGGTGGTGTGGACATACTCGGCGGCGACCTGAACACACATTAAATGACGTTCACACGAAGTTCGATAAACTGACGTCTGTCAACATTAAATAATCGGCCACATGAACAGCACCTGTAAAATGAATCCGTTGAACAGATTATATATCATATGACTCCACGATCATACTGTAATAAAAAATTAAACCGAAATACCTCGGAGCCTTTCAGTTTTCGTATGATCTCCAAGAATCTGCCGTTAAGGTAAACCGCAAGAGAATTTCTCTTCTTCTCTATGGTCTCCCTCGCTTCGGAGACGAAGTCCAGGGGGTTCTGACTCTCCGGATCGTCGTGCTGGGGTAAGGACACATGCAAGAAGCCGAACTGGTTTCCCCACGGCGACTTCGCGTCAGGTTTTGTCATCTCGTGCAGACTCTGGTAGGTGTCGACTACCCGGGTATTGATCAGGATGAGAGCCGTAGAATTGTAGCCGACCCTCTCCTTGGTTCCGCTAGTCAGGTATAGCTGGACTCCTAAGAATATTATCCCTGTGATGACATCGTTGATGGTCTGAAAATCATAAACAAAAGTTGCCATCAAGACAAAGAAAAAATGAATGTTCCGACTGACCAACTAAAGACCAATCAACAATCAATAATGATTAGGGTACCCATATATTTTTTTTCGTTGTGTATGATTTTTCCGAGATATCATGTGAGCTTCCATTTTTAGTCTACATACTACACAGAAAAGAAAACAGTTCAAAATTTAAAACTATGTACCATATGTCGACAAGTTCCCAGTTAGCTGTTTATAAATCGAGCGGGGCCCATGCACTTCAGTTGTAAAATTCGCTACATTCAGTGTCAGTTTAATTGAAAATCGTGTTTGGAAATAACTTTGGCATGATTCCCCCGAGATCAATGGGACGGAAATTTTTAGGGCGGCAGTATTACTTCTAAAAACAATCATGGATCCGTTCCAAATCAGATCCCCAAAAGTGACCTGGGTTGGGACATTCGCAGACTTTAAGAAGAAAATTCCACTGTTTGGAAACTGTAGCGGGGGATCACACAGAAAATAAAGCCCTGATAAGATGGAGTAGTCGCTTACCCCTCCAAGCTTGTTTTTGATTCGTCGGAGGTCGTCGAGGGGAAATATGACACTGCTGATGACGACTGGTCGGAACTCCACGCCAGGGTCCCCAGATCGGATTGGGCTCCTTTTGTCCTCCCCCTTCAGGAGACTCCACCCGAACTCCCACGCGGTGTTGATCCCCACGTGGACGGCGTGCGTGGCTGTCCGCCACAGGTTCCTTCCCTTTTCTTTTTCCTCCCCTTTCTTGCTGCGACTAGGGAAGGTGATGGGGAGTGAAGGGTCATCGGCCCTCTTCAACAAGGACAAGAGAGCACCCAAGAGGGTGAAGCCGTCCCCCAGTGCGTGGTGCAGCTTGAAAACCAGCGTCCCTTCTCCGGTGAGCGTAGGGTACTTGAGAATGTGGATCTCCCACAGGGGCCTATCCTGGCGCATCTTTTCCATGCCTATCTTGGTGAGGTAGTCCTGCGTGCACCGATGGTAGGCCTCCACCGACAGGCCCGGAGGGAAGACGGGCACGTTGACATGGTCCTCCAAGTTGACCGGTACCCGTTTCCACAGTTTCACTCCTTTCTTATCTGTAACCTGGGCAGATCTTAACTCGTCTTAACTCCGGTGCCACCAAGGACAGATAAAATTTTAAAAGTGGTGAATTGTGGCGCCTACTGCAACTATTAAATTGTTTTTGCTTGAGAACAGAGCCATGGCAGATTGCTGCTACGGAAACTAATGCACTCCATAAATTCTGATCCACAAAGCCTCTCTCGTGTTGAGTATCTCCTATCTGACCTAACGTTACCGTCCACAGGAAACCTCCGTAGAATCGGCAGAGTTTGTATTTATCAGTCATGATACCATATCATGAAGGAAAATAAAAAAATTCAACCCATCGTGCGACAATTCGTAAAGAAACAGAAGATAATGTATCAGTAAATGCAACGTTTGGGCAAAATAGACCGGAGACCATGAAGATCTAACATGAAACAATAGTCATCGGATAAGCAGAAATAACCTGGCTAGTATTGCTCGGAAATAGCGTCACAATAGATGCAATAATTGGGGAAAGTAGACTGGAGCCCATGAAAATAGAGCACGAAAGAAGAGAAGCACGAGGGATCGGAAGAAGTAGAGAGAAGAGTATATCTGATTGAAGTGTTAGCAGAAGCTGGCTAACTTCTGAGAATAAACATATTTTCAAAACAGTTAGTTCGACGTTTACTCTTGATTACAAGCGCATTAGGCTTTTGAACGATCATGTTTGCTGGTTTTGCCGAGAAGGAGGGAGGAAGGGGAGAGAGAGAGAGAGAGAGATCACCATGATGGATGAGAAGCGTGGATTGGCGGGCAAGAACATGCTCCGGAGGACGTCCATGGTGGGAGAGTCGTCGATAGGAACCTCTGACTCGAAGGCGGAGAGGATGCACACTGAGAGTGCGGAACTGTTGAAGTACTGGCCAGTGGGACTGACCGGCTCCTCTCCCACCTCCGCCCCCGGCCATTCTCCCTCATTAGACGACATCGTCCAAGAAAGCTCGCGGCCGTCGTCTATCTTCTTCCTTCTGGCTCCTCTCCGTGCTTCTTTCCTCCGAGGAATATGCAAACCATTGTCGAAGACACCCCACGATGATATAACCCGCGGTTCGCCTAAGTTAGGTGAAGTTGGCATTAATGTCTCAACTGTCCTGAGGGGCTCCTAATTCCTTCACAGTCCATGTCTACCACTTTGAGACAGTTCCCCGCAGCCCTCAGGGTGATCAGGGCACGGAAAACCCTAGAAATCGCTAGCATCAAACGTTAGATAGTCGTTGATTGATGAGGCAGGAAAAATATCTTTGGCGATAAAAGGAGGAAAGAGAGAGAGAGTCGTTGGTTCTGGTGAACCTCGTTGATTGATGAGGAAGAGTGTGCGTAGCAGGTATTACTCGGCATTAATGAGGCAGATCCGCAATGTGAAACCAGATTTTTTACTGAGACGATAAGCAGACGGTAAATTCATGAGGTCAAAGAATTCCATCCGGCGACAAGGTGCAGGTGCATGTGCCAAGTCATAACAGCTGTCCATCACAAGTTTACCAATGCTCGGATTTTTACCGAGATTCAAAGAACAGAACAGATAGAGACAACAGGCCAAACGGTCTGGATTACTAATTTTCATGAATTTTCCAACTCCAGCGAGGTTCCCAGGAACGATCATCGATATCGAAACTGATTAGGAAACAATCTTGCTCACCGGACCCGGCGGGGCCAGATGGATTTTCCTGAACTAACGCGATTTCTTGAGTCCAGTCGTCCTAAATTGAGAAATGATTTTCCAACCTGGATAAACCGACAACAAAAGACCTTTAATGTTACGTAGCATATCATTAAGTAATGATGGGCCTTCGTGAGCCCAACCCATGACCGGGCGTTGATTACAAGGCAAAAATCTTAGCTGCGGCTGGAGAAATTCTTCGAAGATTAAAACCACTTTGTAGCCTGGCATGGGCGTTTGAAAGAGGGAAGGAGGGGATGAGAGAGACGAGCTGCCACGAGGGTAATTTAAAATCATATGATGAGCTCCCAAATTCTATGTCAGATCCCTATTGAAGCGAAGATTATGGCCAATATGGGTTCCACCTATCTTTCTTCTTGAGCATGGTTTTGTACGTAAACCTCGATAGCCTAAGCGGAGGTAGGCCCCAGGTTGATCAGTCCCGTTAATTCCACCAATTAATGAACCCGATTTGGTCTGGTCTTTCTGAAGTTCTGACTTTGCCGTCTTTTGGTTGAAAAGGGTTCAACCCCTCACAAAACTGGACCAGAGTTTTCATACCAGGCCCAGTATCAGCTATCAATCAATACCAGTCCACAAGCTATCTCCTCTCTGACTACTTCCGAGCATTTTATATTCAGATCATGCTTAAAGATATGTACTTTTGAAGATCAAGAATATGCGTCGACATAACATAATGCACAATTGGTGCCCATAATGCCATTGAAATCATGCCTTCCTTCAACTTGGAAAGAAAAATTTAAAAAGCTTCAACATCAGTGCCAAGCGTAGCCCTCAAGCCCTCCTTGGCTACCGCCGACAGCACAATTGGAAGAATATTTTGCTCTTCGACTAAGTTCCATGCCTAATATTCGTGGAGACAGGGGCGTGCTTATTGTTTCACCACTCTTTCTGTAACTCCATGCCAATATCAATACTTTATGGAAAGGGTAAGGCCGCCGCCTTTCATTTTCGCATTATTTACTGAGGGTGGTCGCATAGAACTTATCCATCTACGTATGGTCACATTTTCAGTTTAAATATAAATAGAAAATAGTGGCAATGGGCCTTTCGTCAGACCACACACGAATTTGTCATTAAAATATTAAGAAACCCAAACTTCAGTCTTCCCACATAATTTTGGCTCCTCCATATCGCGAGTTGGAAACCTCCGGCGCCTTGCCCACCCAAAGAGTAGTATGATATATATGAAAATAAATGTCCTTGACTACTCTCCCCTTCTCCCTCTCTCGTTCGTTCCTTTCTTTGACCAGCCAATCGAGATGAGGTGTCGTGTGAATGCAGAAGATTCCTGGAAGGTCCGATCATGCATTAATCACGGGGATGTCTCTCTCCATCCGTTACGTGAGGACCCCACCCGCCCCTCTCCCCCCCTTCCCCACGTTGGCAAAAGAGGGAAACCCACCATCCAGATCATAAAACCGCCAATCCATGCATGGTTTCTATGCGCAGAGAAAATAAGGTTTGGCGGGGATATGGATGAGAAGGGCAGCATCTTTTGCCCATTTACTGCGCAACCTTTGTTGACCTACGTTGATGACTATATAGAAGGTGGGCTAATGAAAACGGGAACGCTGGAGTGAATCGAGTCAATATTATGGCTCTTGCATGGCTCTGTTTCCCAAGTTTGTCGGTTAAAGCACGTAAAACTTTACAGTACTGTTCTAAAATAAGTATTCGGAAATTGTCGCTCTGGAATCTAAATTATTCGACATTTTTTATATATCGTTCTCGCCGTAGAGATGGCCATCGAACAGTCAGAAAAACATCTGCAGAAACAATATTTACGAAGGAAATTTTAGAAATATTTTAATCTAATGTGGACGGGATAAAATTTATAAAAGAGAAAAGCCATTAGACTATCAAGCAGTCTGCGTGCTTATCGCGAGGCCGCCGCTCGCCGGCCACTGACGTTGACAGCCCATCTACATCGTTTGACTGAAGGCAGGGAAGGGGCCCACCGGTAAGACCCGGTCCCCGGTGACAGGGCCGAGGAACCATTAGCCCAACGACCGGATGCTTGTATAAAAATAACCTGACAAAAGTTGACCTGCGTAGGCCCGTCTGATCCCAGCGCCTCCCGGACATTAATAAACAATAAACAGTCGGCGAACCAGGCATCAACATTACTTTTATTTGGTAATGACTTAAAATTTTCTGCGACACCGTTTTCTTTAATGCGCCAGATAATCTTACAGTGCACCACGGTTTGTTTCCGTAACTAGATCTCAAAATCACGTTCAGAGAGAAAATGGTCCAAGTCTGACCGGTCATGGCCCGGTTCCTACGTAGGTCGGGCCCAGAGTTTGATGGAGCCTGACCCTCAAGATCCGGCTTTCCTTGTTCCTTGATGTTCCGCAATGGTCAACGCGTCAGCTTCCTCTCCCCCGCCTTCGCCAGCCCCCGTCTTCGTGGAAGGTTTTTTTGGAGCTGGTCTTCCGGGCTTTTTCATGTGGTGCAGCCAAGTCCTGGTCTTGCAATTGGATGACCGGGCTGAGCTTCACGAGCCCGAGGCCTTGCCTTTTGACTCCGTGGATGACGACTGCAAGTCTGAGGGAGAAGGGGATAAAGAGGATTGGAAGCTTGTCCGCCAGCCGGCATTCCTACCGGCGGCCTGGGGAGTTAGCCGGCGAGAGGGCCTCCGGGGTGAGAGAGAGAGAGAGAGAGAGGCGGCGGCCCGTTGACGGACATTCAACGCCTTTTAATTACGTTGCTCGAGGTGGGAGTGAGGCGGGAGGAAGGGCATTGATGGGATGGGCCAGGCCGTTCAACTACCGGCTGTTGCCGGTGGCGAGGGGAGGATCATTGGGATCCGAATAAGTTGATTTATTGGGGGCGTTTCGGGCATCGAACGGGAACGCCGGCCTGGTCTCCGCGTGACTTCCGAACTCCGTCTGACTAACTGAGTTGGACGCTGCTGTTCAATATTTAAGACAGGAAAATGGGAGGAGGGAGAGGGACCGTAGAAGGGGAGAAGAAGACAAGAGCAAGGGGGTGAAATCTCTCAAACTCATCTGATTAGTCCTCTTTCTCTCTCTCTCTCTCTCTCTCTGATTCTTCCTTCTTCGTCCCGGTCTTCCTCCCAGTACCCAATCAAAACGGGCGGAGCTCTGTTGCCTCCTCCATCCTTCTCCTGAGGTGTGAGGTGCGAGAATTCTCTCTCGTTCTTGCTCTCTCTCCCTCCCTCTCTCTCTCTCTCTCTCTCTCTCTCTCTCTCTCTCTCTCTCTCTCTCTTTCTCTCTTTCTGGGCAGTCTGTAAGAATGATGCAGATGAAGGGAATACCGGAGAGGACGCAGGAGAAGGAAAGTCCATTACTCCAGACGTCTCCGAGGACACCTACCAGCAGCAACAGCAGTACCAGCACCAGCAACAGCACCAGCAATGGAGGTGTCGGAGGAGCGGCGGCGTCGGCGCTGCCAGGGCTTCCCTTGTCGTCGAAGGCGATCCCACGAAGCGACGTCAATCCCTACCCGACCACCTTCGTCCAGGCGGACTCGTCCTCCTTCAAACAGGTCGTCCAGATGCTCACCGGCTCCACGGAGACCACATCTCGGCACCACCAGATCGCCGCCGCCCCCGCACCTTCCTCGACGCCGGAGGTCCCTTTACCAAGGAACCCGATCCCTCCCCCGGCCAAGACCGGCCCCAAAAGGCCCTCTTTCAAGCTCTACGAGCGCCGCCACAGCAGCTTCAAGAACCTCAAGGCCATCGGCCCCCTGCTAATGCCCGGCGGCTCTCTCAACGGCGTCGGCACCAGCGGCTCCGCCGGCGTCTCCCCGAGGACCCAGCAACCGGAGATCCTCTCCCCGAGCATACTTGATTTTCCGGCCCTAGCCCTGAGCAGCCCCGTGACACCGTTGATCCCCGATCCCTTCAACAGGGCCCCCCACCCCAATTCCTCCGCTGGGGTGTCGGCAGAAGAGAGGGCGATCGCAGAGAAAGGGTTCTATCTGCACCCATCGCCGAGGGCGACCACACCTGGGGACGCAGCGGCACCCAGGCTTCTTCCCCTTTTCCCCGTTGACCCCCCCCGCGTCTCCTCCGGCGGCCCTTCTACCGCTACCTCCTCTTGATCTGAAAGAGATCACCTGTTTCCCCCCGGCGGTCCTCTGTCATCATTGAGATACTGTTATTACGTGTTACTATTATTGAAACCCTGAGGTTGAGATCTAACTAGCTTCGATTCTACGATTTCATCGCCAGAACAGCAAGATCGACGATTTCCACTCTTCAGTAGGGTCTTTCGTCGTCGTTTCCCTTCGCTTCCTTCGGCCCTCAGAAGACGTGGATTGTGGGCACTCTTCGTCGTTTTATCCGCAACCCGGCGGCCGTTGCTTCTTTCCATCGACTGGATTTCTTTTTCCCCGCTCACTGGTGGTGAATTGAAGCGTTCTATCTCGGGGAGGTCAGCCGGCGGCAGCAGGCGAGAGAAATGGGGGCATCTGGTTGTCAGTTTCTGATACCGCCGTTTTCCCCTGCGCTCGAGACGGCGGAGGAAGGGGGAGCTTTGGAAAAACTGAAGACCCTTTTCGGGGTTGTCTACTGCACAGAGACCAGCTCCGAGTGCTTTCCTCTTTTGGGTGCACGCCGTCTCTCTTCCGTCATCTAGTACGAACCAGTTGCACTTTAAATTCTGGTCTATGGGTGATGGGTCTTATTCAGATCTCCCTGAATTCTTTTCTGTACTATTGAGTGCTTATAACACTCCGATATCATTTGATGTTCTTGGAATAGTTTCTCTTTTAAGAAATTCACACGCACATTAAATAATGAATTTTGGGGATCATCGACTAATTCTTAAATAAATAAACTAGAGATCTCCCCAGTCCAGGAGACCTCACCGACATGCCCCCACACGGGCACTCGGGGGTTTGAATCTATCGCCCCCGCGAGGCCTTGATTTGCGTCTACATGCGACAAATGTGATCACCCAAGTCTTGTCGAACACAGATTCGACTTCAGAGGGCTGGTCTTCGGAGGAATTTTCCGTGTGGGACATCGACCTCCATTCAAGTCTCGCTCGTGCCAGGCGATGTTCTTGGGAGGGTCACTGGCTTGAAGATCGTCGCTGGTCCGGAGAATGTTGGAGGTGGGTCGGCAAAAGTCCCCATGGCCATCCCTCAGGTCAAAAGTCTTCCCGGCTGCTGCCATCAGGTCCACAGGTTTCGCTTCTTGTCGCAGGGGAAGGTCACCCCGTGGACAGCCAGGACCAGGCCAGCGCCTGCCGAACTCCACTGGGGGCTACAGGAGGCCCTCGACGCCCGAGACTTGAGCTTCGGTGTGCCCGTTCACGCCCTACTGGTAAAGGCCCCCGCTCACTTCGCTGGCTCACTCTCTCTGTGGAACAAGCTCCTCAATCTGTACGGCCGGTGTGGTCAGAATCGGACGACAATGAGGCTTCTGTTCGATGAAATGCGCGAGAGAGATGTGGTTACTTTCAACACCATGATCTCGTCGTGTCTCCGCAGTGGGGACAACCGTGAGGTCGCTCGAGCGGTAGAGCTTTACTCGCTCATGCGAGGGGGTGGGATAAAGCCGAACAACATCACACTGTCCATGTTGCTCGCAGCTTCCTCTTGCTCACCTGCGCCGCTCTGTCTAGTTGAGCAGATTCATGCGCAGTCAGTGAAGATGGAGCTCGCCGGAGATGGTTTCGTGGGGAGTGCACTGGTCAGCGGGTACAGTAGGTTTCATAGCCTGGAGCAAGCGAACCGCGTGTTTGATCGTATGGACCAGGTGGATGCCGTCGGCTGGAACATCTTGATCGACTCATGTGCCCGCAGTGGTACCGCTGAGCGCACAGTGGAGATCTTCTCCCGCATGCGGCGCCAGGATGGCGAGAACGAAACTATTGATGGCTTCTCTCTAACCAGCGTTCTGAAGACCTGTTCTGAGCCGAAGTATCTGCGATTAGGTACGCAGATCCACGCCTGTGCCTTCAAAGCTGGATTTTCGTCGGAGACGCCCATTGGAAATGCTCTAATTACAATGTACTCAAAATGTCAGAAATGCAAGGAATCCATGGCTGCAGTCTTTCAGACTATTCCACAGCCCAATATTATCTCCTGGACCGCGATGATCTCCGGGCTAATGCAAATTGAGCGTCACGAAGAAGCCATTAGTTTCTACATGGACATGCTGAGAATGGGTTTTGCGGAGAACGAATTTTCTTTCGCCAGCGTGCTTCCAGCTTTCAGTGGCCTCGCAAGCCTTCAGAACGGAAGGCAAATTCATGGCAGGGTCGCAAAATCAGCGCATGGGATTGACGTGGCCGTCGGAAACGCTCTCGTTGACATGTATTTCAAGTGTGGCAGCCTAGAAGATGGTCAGCGTGTGTTTAGGACCATGAAGAATCACGATGTGGTGTCATGGACGGCGATGATAGGCGGGCTAGGTCAGCATGGGAAGGCCAGGGAGGCCCTCGAGGTCTTGCAGGAAATGGTAGCCGGGGGCTATAAACCAGACTCTGTGACTTTCCTTGCAGGTTTATCTGCCTGCAGCCACGGAGGCCTTGTCAATGATGGGTTCAAGATTTTCCACTCCATGACTAGCATCTACCGCATCAAGCCCATGAAGGAACATTATGCCTCTTTAATCGATTTGCTCGGTCGGGCAGGGAAGTTGGAGGATGCCGCAAGATTCATAGCGGAAATGGGATTAGATTCGGATCCCCTAGCATGGGAAACTCTTCTTGGTGCTTGCAGGATCCATGGGGACACACCCCTTGGGGAAATATCGGCAAAGAAGATCATGGAGTTGGAGCCCCAGAAAGAAGGTGCGTATGTTATGCTCTCGAATATCTATGCTGAGAAGAGAATGTGGGAACAGAAGGGCATCCTGCGGCATACGTTGGATGCCACGGGCTTGAAGAAAGATGTTGGATACAGCTGGTCTACAGTTGTAGAGTCGTATACGACCTGATGGGAAAAAGATTAAACTTTGAAGATTGATTCACGATGGTACCTCGCCAATTGTCTGCATGATGTAGGCTTTGGTTTCTCATTAAAGATTATGTGGTGAATCGGAGCATGATGTAGATTGTCTGCTAGCCTTTATTCTCTCACTGTTTCGTCCTTCTGTCTCTCTCTGTGGACATCACTGCCGGTGATTTTACTTCTGGGCTGGTCAAGAAAATGCGTTCATTGCAGTCATCCATATAAGAACACGAAATTGAGTCTACAACGGTATCTTGAAGAACCCATCAAGTTTGATTTGAACACGGTGAAAATGGGTGATTAAGGCTCAGAGTAAGAGAGGAATCAGCCGACATGGAGTTGAAGATCCAAAACTGGGACCGAGAATTGCTGATTCCGGGTAACTGAGGCATTGAATGTAAACAGGGTAAGCCACATCGACGCTGATTTTCGATCTTTTTTGCTACTTCAGCCGTCGTTTCTTTCCAACGGGGTGAGGAACACATTTTTCTCTTCAATATGCTTAATGACTCGTTAGTTTCTCTATGTTCTCTCCACAGAGAGAGAGAGAGAGAGAGAGAGAAGAGAGAGAGAGAAGAGAGAGAGAGAGAAGAGAGAGGGATCAATAGAAGTACTGGGAACTGGTTCCTTGCTCTAAATCTATTTGACGAATTCTCGTTTGCCGATCATGTGAATTGAAGCCGTTGACCGCTGATGAAGACTTTTAATCAGAAAATAGGTGCAATGTTAAAGGAAATAGGTGCTTCCTCAAGCAGCTGATCTGAGGATCTTAATTAGGCATATAATGGGGCAGGAGGCAACGAGCAGCCCGGATTTACCGCCCATTGATTCGCGGCCTACGCTTCATTCCCTTTTTCAGATTAGAAGCATATCCATGAATCAAGTGCACACATGTGCTCGATCCTCTTCCCTTTCAGCGTGCAGAAGCTTCGGAGGGCTTTATCTGGCCAAAGTCGGGGTACCGCCTGAGGACGAAGAGGCGATCATGTCACCGCCCGACTATATGAGGACTACGAGGACGACAAAATGCTGCCTGCTCGTGTGACGGTGACAGAGAAAATGAACGGTATAGGAGGTGAGTGCACCAGCGGAGCATCTTCACGCCATTAATGAACCTGACAACGTGTATGCTGTAAATGAAGATTAAATAATTTATCCAAAAATGGAAAGTTCTTGAAAGTCAACCGATTCTCCCATAGTTATCGATTTGTCTTCATTGCCACCGCATGGTAATACGACCAAGAAAAGTTTTATTAATGGTTCCGCGCCGCTTGTGGGTATCTGCAAGATTTATTAGGGGCGGTGCTCATCCCCTCGCTTGGCCACAGGTCCATGCCCTGCGAAGAGCTCCCTCCCTACCCTTTGGCATCGAGTAGATCCAGCGGAAAGCGGGTTGAATAGCGATGGCTTTGGGTTGCGCTCCCCCAAATGGTACTACTGAAGTACCTCGTCGCCATCGAGGGGTTTGCTTACTGCAAAACGGGCAAGTTCCCAGAGCACAGCCACTAGGCCAATGGGTCACCACTTCCAGGTTTCTCTCTCTCTCTCTCTCTCTCTCTCTCTCTCTCTCTCTCCCCCTCTCCCTCTCTCTCCCCCTCTCCCTCTTGCTCTCTATAAGCGTTCAATTACTTCATCCCCTTTTTGTTTCATGAAGGCGTCGTGTCGAGGCTGCACTGGAACAAACACAAGCAGGAGGCCAAGTTCTTCTATAGATCAGCCAGGCATCTGGTGGATGTTCAACCGTCAAGCGCCTCCGCATACCTCCCAAGTCAGATTGACACCTGTGCTTCTGAGCTGCCCAGTTTACTCAAAGTGAAACGTAAGACTGGGGCTATGTTTGGGCCACAAGTTACCAGAGTCTGTAGGTTTTCTAGTCAGTTTTTGACAGTCAAATGGATCACAATGGAGCGGGGTGTAATAAAATCAGCCAATATCAACAGGAAACAGAAAAATAATATCTCGATCTATATATGACTGAAATTAACTTGAGGATATAAGGAATAGATATAATCATATTGAAGTCAACTTGCCTCAAGGATCTAATCAATAAGACCTTCAAGATCCTACAAATGTCCTACTCGTATATGTATTTAAATATTCGCGGATTATAGATACTTCACAGCCCACAAGAAGATACCTCATTCGCAGCTATCTACTTCATGCAATCAATCTTCTATCTGTTGTATACTTGACCTCGAATATGGCCTGCAATTTACTGTTCTTTAGCATCCAAGAACAACCACCACGTTCTCATATTTCTTTCTTATCTCCTCTTACAACAACTTTTACTGTAAGTTTCAGATCGCTGCCTTATTCTACTAGGGTACTACAATCTGAAACGATCAAGCAAGACAACTAATAGGAGGAAGAGAATAGGAGAAAGGTTGTTGGATAGAGAGGGAACACTGGAGAAGAGAATGAACCCTAAATCGTAAGGATTTTTCGTGCTCTCTGAAAACAAAGTTCGTAACAGCTTTTTAGCCCCCTTTATATGGCCCAAAAGTTTGTCCCAATACAAGAGGTCACATTCATTTGTTATGAAGCCTGTTCTAAGCCTCACATTTCTGAAATATTAAACCATATTTCAACACGGGGAATGAATTATCATCCAAAATTGACCATATCAGTTGCATGTTTCCTGCATCCCGTTGCTTGTGTTATGACGTTAATCCAAATATTGGTAAATAGGTAGATGAAAATATGTAATTAAAAAAATATAGTCCCTTAACTAGGCCCCAGTTGGGGGAGCTCTGACAAAGAATCGCTATGTTGGACATAAGCCCAAAAGCATACAACAAAGACTACAACACCCAACTTGAGCTCAGGTAAAGCTCGACTCTGCATAGTTTTTGTTATGGAAGAACTTGGCCTCCCTTATGCTGCGACCAAAGGAAAATAAAACTTGGATTGACAATGAGTAGATGGTTTTCACGTTGCATCATATAAGGGTTTCTTTTCTTCAACTAAGTTGACACTAATAAACATGACTTCTGCACAAAAATCAGAAGACAAGTGAACTGTCATTTAGTTTCACGAGGACTCTGTAGAGACATCACTATTAGTTCGAAAGAATTGAATTGACTTGGAAGCTTAAACCTTGACTCACCAGATCACATCACCATTGTTTGTAGTGATCTTTTGTTCTTTCTAAAATTAGGGACAAACATGGCACTGTTTCCTTTCGATAATCCCAATTGGGATAGATATTAATGTTACAGATAAGGAAGGTTCCAGGTCATCATCTCCTCTACAACTGAATAACTGATTCTATGTATTCTCAATATGATAGTTATCAAATTTCTCACGACAGTCTAGTAGTGTAATCATTGCCAGAGTTCTACAAGTACTAATAGATCATAAGCTACATCGTTGTGTGAGATGGCAAAATTTAGTACGTACAAATAGGTGAGATTGTATGTCCAATGACTATGACATTCACGGACATTTTCTAGCCTTGGATTTTGATAGAAAATCCTCAAAAGGAATAATACGTCAGACCTATTGATCTAAACCTAATCGTCTATGTTTCAAGCCACTAGGTGGCACACACATAGATAAGTCTTATGCTGCTCAACACACATGCACACACATAGAGACAACATTACATGTGTAGATAACAGAATCCTAAGTTAGACTGAAGTGAAGCTTAGAAAAAATCCAGATAAGGATTGGATAGATCTAAACAATGCAATTTTTCTTCCCAAGTTTGATCTAACTTAAATTTTGAAGCTCAAATCCAAAAGCGTAGATTGATGTTTACATAAATGTTTTATTTTCTAAAAGCAAAAGAAAAAACTGAATAAAAAATTACAATTGATTAGAGGAAGGCATCACACATCAATATGGATGGCCATTTGCATAGTGGAAACCATGTGGAAATTAATTGCATGGAAGCCGACATGCCAATTATTAGAATAATTTTTTTCTATTCCGTTATATTCAAGTTATATATGTTAATAGCAGATTGGATGGCTTTCATGTATTTTTTGCCCTTGGTTAAGGAGCAGCTGGCCTTGGATGACCAGTTTATCTCCCTTTCATTTTTGGACGAGGCCTAGACGAGATCAATTGGACTGATGACTTGTGGGCCACATTATATAGGAACTCTATAGCTGGAGCAAAGTTGGGAACCTATATTGAACAATATTAACCAAATCCTAATCCTATCTCAGGTTAGAGACAAACGAAGAAGATGAATAGACTCTCTGTTGAGAAATTGTACTTTACGATGCCCATTTACGCTGATCACTACGAGAGGAAGCCTTCTCCTTTTAGTAGTCTATAGGTGACGCAATGGAAACTGGTAGAACTTGTGATTTGATTACGTTTAGCTTTACCTAAGTATTCTAGAAGTAAAATCACGACCTTGAGTCCACAAGAAAAAATATTTAATTGAATACTATTCTATTAAGTCTACAGGACAAGGAAATTCGTCTCTTGAGTACATAAGGGATCGATCCTAAGTTCACATAATCAAAAAAAGGTCCATTAATTCACAAGGATATTAGAATCCGCCAGTAGAGATAGAGATCCTCCATAGATGAAAGAAACTCAAAAATAGATTGATGAAAATATGAATGCCTCTGGGGCTTCAATGCAGGGACCTTTTAATGGCTGAAACCTAGTCACAACTATTTTAGAAAAATACAAATTTGTTAAAACATTCCTTAGAAAGAGAGGCTTTAGGTAGAATGTCCTTAATAGTTAAGGGAAATTACTTGAAATTAAAAAAACGTGAGAAATAAGAATAAACGTGAGAATTGAGTTTTTTGACGCATTTAACATGTGTTCAAATCTCTTACTGAATTGAGTTTTTTTAAGACTAAATTTTGCCTGAATTATATCTTCATGCATCTTGGGCCTCTGGCCCACTTAAATTGAGCTAAAATTGGCCTGCATCAATAAGGTGGGAGGAGCTGCATAGTAAATCAGCTCAGGACAATCATCTCTCTTTCCCTACGAGGCCCCCTCACCTTTCTTCTCTTGTTTTTAGCTCCGATTTCTATCATTCTAGTCTTCCATCTTAGCATGTTTCTGTTCTCTCGATCTATTCGACAACGACTTTAGGAACAAATGGGTTAGGCATGGTTATTGCCCTGTATCGGAAGGTGATGCAGAAAGCTACTGGGGTTGTATTGAGGAGACAATTCCCCGGAGAAGCTCGTGTATCAGGGAGAGGACACAGAGCGGTCAATGAAACTTTGGCGTGCTCCGAAGAGGTGAAGCCACCGAGAATCATGGGAAGGGTAGCGGGTAATGCATGTCTACACGACTTCTTATCGTTCCTCAATAGTCTTAAAAAGTCTTGGAGGCCTCCGGGTGGACAGGAAAGCAGAAGGGATTGGTCATAATGGCTTTGGTCACTACCCTGTTGGCTATGCACTTCCTGAGCTCCCTTTCCTCCAACTAGAAAGCCTGACCCCTGTTTCGAGTGTTTTGTCAACTGCAAAACGTGCAAGCTCCGTGGAATGGAAACAACCCATATTTAGAAGAGGCACGACTGGCATCTCTCTCTATCTCTCTCTCAATTTTCTATTCGAAATTTCAGATCATATTAGAAAAATGTTGCATAGAATATGAAGTTTCTCCCGCATAAAATCGGGAGGAAACATCAAAGTTGAGAGTTGAGGCAATTAATGATAAATTGATTGGTCCCCAGAAATGGAAGAAACGTTTCTGGAATTCTCACCTCCTCAGTGTTATTTACACTGGTACCGCCTAAAAAACCTCGACCTGACTACTTTGGCCATGAGTTTCTCAAGCCGACGGGCCCCTGGCCCGGGGTTCAAGAGCGTCACATTGCCCACCTCCGAGCAAAGGGGCACGCCGGTGCACCAGCCCCCAGGGACGAAGCTCCCGTTCCTCCGACCCAGCAGCTCGCTGTCGATCTTCGCCAGCGCGGGGTCGCTGCGATTGAACTTGCGGGCGAAGGGGGCGTTGCTGGCTACCATCTGCGGGATGTCTGCGATACTGAGGGAGTGGGGGTGTTGTCTGGGGGGCGTGTCCCATAAGATGTAGTGCAGGTCATGGTTCACGGTGGTGCGGGCGTACTCCGGCACGTTGCAGATGACGGTCTGGAAGTAGCTCTCAGGTGTGGACAAAAAGTTGGTGTGGTACATGAGCAGAGTCCTCGGCAGGTTGTCCCATCCCCACAAGCAGAACTCCACGAACTCCCTCGTCAGCGCCATCCATGCCGAGCCTGGATGAATTTTCCGGTTAATAATCTTCAACTTCTGTAACCGTGCGCTCAATTTTGTAAATCATTCGACCCACTGAGCACATTTGGCGAGTACTAATCTGGAAAATCTTTTGAGATTTCATCACGTGAATCCGAGATATAAGGAGACGATAAATGTTTGAAAGAGTCCGAACATCTAACCCAAAAATAATTTACACACAACGTGATATCAGTTTATACTATAATTTCATGTTTAATATCCGGAATTGTCGCCGATTATGATTGTAGGAAGATTACCGATGGAGATAAGTTTACCTGTGAAGAGCCTGAATGCCGTGGGCAAATCTCGCTTCGGCGTGACCCAGAAGAGGTCCGATATGTTAGTCATATGAAGCCCGGGATCAATTATCAATGGTCTGGCCCTCACCGCCCTTCTCGTCAAGCAGCCGTCACCAAGATCGATTAAACCAAGTTGTCGCTGTACCAGGAGAAACTACGAAAAACAGAGGCTTGGTTTTACACTACTCACTCTTTCCAACCCAGGCGACTCGTGTGCTCCACGAAATTCAGGTTTCTCGGCAATGTCGAGAAAGTATGAAGGATATCTGTAGATTGATGGATGAGATCGTGTTTTGCGATGAGGAAAAGAGAAGGGAAGAGACCTATGAGCTCACCGTCTTGTGTGACGAGAGGATAATCGGAGGCGCTGAGGTTGATGAACCAGTCCCACTTCTTGCTCCTCCTCAGAAGGATGGCGCAGGCATGGAGGGTGTTCGCAACCATGGTAGGCCCTCTGTATGTGACCATGTTGGCCTTGGTGATCATGTGCACGTTTCCCATCTTGGCGAAAACTGGTTCCTCCTTCAATCGGATCGCCAGCTCCATCCTCTCCGCGGCTGGAGACTTCAAATCCATGTGGATAATGTACTGGTTCCGCGGGTGGTACAGGGCCTGAAGAGTCCTCCACAGACTCTCTAGGTCCCCCTTTGATCCCGACACCAAGTAAGCCAGAGCCGGTACCACGTCGTCGGCCGGGGGAGACGGCGGCGTCTCCAAGAATCTTGATTCCACGAAGAGAGGGGCCGCCTGGTTCAAAATGTCCCCCGCCGGGAGGAGGGGCAGTATAGATTGAATTCTGTAGCGAGAGGAGACAAGGCCCATGTTGTGGTAGGTTATGAGGGAGAAGACGAAGATGAGGGAGATCACCACGATGGAGAATGCCCATTTTCCCTTCGTCATGGTCGGAGATGACGAAGAATCTCGTGCTTTCTTCGGTACTAGCGCCTTGTTTGTTAAATCAGATTCATCTTCCTGAAGGATTGCTTGCAACGAGAGGATCGCGTGGAAGGTTCCTAGGCAGAAGGGCCACAAAGACCTGAACTACGTAGTTTGCTTTAACTGGTAGATACCTAACCTCTCAGACGAACGCCCAGAAAACAGTGAGAGGGATCTGATCAGAGAGGCAGTTCGCGTCGCAAGAGGAACCCCATTGTCACCTTGCTACGCGTGAGTCTCTCTCCCTCTCTCTCTCTCTCTCTCTCTCTCTCTCTCTCTCTCTCTCTCTCTCTCTCCCTCTCTCTCCCTCTCTCTCTCTCTCTCTCCCTCTCTCTCCCTCTCTTTCTCTCTCCCTCTCCATTTAAGCATCATCAGCCACGCCGCCACTGTTTTTAAGGTCATGGGGCCGGGCGATTAGGGAGGAACCGTTGCTCTTGGGAAGAAAGGGTAAGCCTAGGAGCGTCACCCCCCCGGTGCCCGGCTAATCGCCGCATATTAATAAAGTGGTGGGTGCAACATCTGCGTCTGACTTTACTCACCTCATCAATGACGTCCGACGGGTGCCGTGCGCCATGGGGCCGTCCAAGGTCTCCCCTGGTTTTATTATTTTCTTAAATCTTATACCATTCATGCATTTGTATATTTACAGGGTCATCAACACATGGTTTATCCTAACTTTAGACATTTTTTTATGATACCCCGATCAACCAAGATTCTGAAGATGACCTGAGAACCACTCCCAAATTCCCTCTTAAGTAGGACTCGACTCTGAGTTCTCGGAGGGAGGGAGGAAGGGTGGGAGCCGGGGGGGGGAGAGAGAGAGAGAGAGAGAGAGAGAGAGAGAGGTTGACTGCCTCTTAAGTGATGTCGGGGGCATGGCTGGATAAGAAAATGAAACCGACTCAGAAAAATAATGGATCGGTGATATTTTCCTTCCTGGGATTTAGTAAGAGTCTCAGAGAAATCCGACACGGGTGTGGGCTCGCTTGCGCAGATCTTACGGCAAATGATTCCGTTATTGAGTAGTTGGCAATTATGACCTTATCGCAGCGCTCAATGCCCCTCAGCTTCGTGGGCCCATCCAACCCCTGCCACGAGAGGAAAGGATCGTGGCGAATCCGATCGTCTTAGTCGGTCACGGTAATATAAACGGGAGCCACAAGCCGCCCACTCACGATTGCCACCATATGGCCAGTGGGATCCTCCGCGGAGATCAGCGGCAGTCGGTGGCTTTCGTTAGCCTGATTTTAGATCGAGACAAACCAATTCTACCCACCACCATCTACACAGACCGCACTTTCAACTCCGTCAATAATTTACCAGAATGTCTTCAAGTATATTTCCATTGGTCTTGATGGACTTTTTGGTGTCCACTCAATCAATGGCACCGCTACATTAAAATGAAAACCTTTGCAGACATTGCTGAAGTTATTCGTGGGAAAGGATTAGGAGGATAAAGTCTCTTTATGGCCGCGCCAATGCCAGAAAATTTGCTTTTAATGCTCATCAAAATGTAGGCCACTAACAAGAACTTTGAAAATACCCAAGGATTGTCAACTAACTTCAGCGAGAAATAAGCCTGTCCTAATATCTGTCCAGACTTGTTCATGCATTAGTTAGATGTAACTAGCTAGCTCACGACATATTTTGTTCTCCCTCTATTAGTTTCTCTCATTTATTTATTTTTTGCGCAATAAATAATCAACATCAAATTTATTGCATAGCTAGCTAATGTTGCATGGATAAAACATACATAAATTTTAGATTAATTAAACATACTTTGGAAAGCATGCCCTGTCATGTTGAAGCTTTATGAGGACTTAAAATGACAAAAGAACAAGGATAGAAAAAAGAAAAATTAATGGTATGTGGATAGCCTAATGTATGAAATCTCATATTTTAATATATTAACTTTCCATTGTGGAATAATATGTTATATCAAGGTTGATATTTCAATATATGAAAATTTATATTGTGTAATAATGTATTGCATTATTTAGCATATAAATGAAAATATGGTGTAATAGCATACAGAGTGAGAGAGGTGTACTGATGTTAAAATTAAGTAAATGAAAATATTCTGTAAAATAGCAAAGTATGTCAAGGTTGATATTCAATTGTATGAGAAGTTACTATGCAAAATTGAGTGTATTTAGGCTGATATTGCAAATAATACAGCACATCAAGCATCATATTTTAATACATGAAAATAAATTATGAAGTAATGTAGCATATCAAGGTTAATAGTTCCATATATAAGAAAAAAAATAAAATATTAAATATATCAAACTTAACTTTCCAACAACTGTGTATATTAATCTTCATATGTTTTACAAAAAAAATTTACATTACATACTAACATAGTACATCTTAACATTTCAATGCATGAGAATGGCAAGGTGGAACAACACATTATTTGAAGGATAATAACTTAGAGTGTGAAGTCTACAATATAAATATGTATTGAACTTAGGAGAAGTATACAAATAACTAAGTATATGAAATATAATTTTCAATGCATAAGAATTTATTCATGGAATAAAAAACATGAAATGAAGTTTCTTGGTATATAGAATTTAAAATAGGAAATGTAAGTATTAAACACATGAGGGCACGTAAAACATTTAGTACATTGAGTATAATATTTACTTAATATGAGTTTCAACTTGCAATATAAGCAAGTATGTAATGTTGCATACCTAAGTGCATTGAATTTACTCTACAACCTAAGCCATTGTATGAAGCAACATATTTTAATATATATATTTTATATTATAATATTAATCAACATATGAAATCAAATGCCTTAGTATCCAAAATTTATGCTGCAAGACACATTGTATTGATAACAAAATATATCAAACTCAAATGGTACTCTATGACACATTATATTATATATAACTAGAATGATAATATATACTACTACACCTTAAAACTATGTCATAGTTTGAGATAAGTATCATGTCATACCAATGGAATAATCATTTAAAAGTCTAAAACTCAACATTGTACAATCTCACTATATCAATAGAATTATTCGCTGAATATTTTTGAAACCATTAGAAGTTCAATGGTGAGTTCATGATATATGAGCATTAAATGCATAGTGTTTTAATTATGAAAAATGATTATAAGAAAAATTAAAATATATAATTATTTTTTAATTATGAAAATTGAAAGAAAAATTACGATATAATTATGAAAAAATATTATGTTTTATATAAGGTTAAATATGAAAAATATTTAGATATAATTTAAAATAACATATTTAAATATTCAAATGATAAATCAATGGACACATTCATGACCTAAAATGATGAATTTATTTATTTGATTTGAGATTTCATGAAAAAAATATTAATATGGAAGCTTTCTAAGTTTATTATGTACTTCTGACATTAAATATTACTTTTGAATGACTTGAACATCAAATTAATCAATTAAATTCAGACCACTTGTTCTATCACACTTATGAATATAATTTAATAAAAACTTTTAATTATTTTAAATAATTAACATAATGATTTTAAATACTAAGATCATGACTTAGTTGTTTATTTGATGGTTAAATTTTATTTGAGACAATTCAAATAAGATTTGGTTGCTAAATTGTTGTATTTTTTGGATATGTATTATTAACTCAATTTTAACATTACTAGATCTTTACCAAAATTGACTTAATAGGGATATTATTAGATATAAATGTTGCATGCTGATAGAACTGCCTATTGGTTTACCTTAAGGATATCTGAGCCATTAATAGATATATCGTATTAAATTTCTAATCATTTAATTTTGTATTTATCTTAATAAAATTAAACATAGAAAATCTCAAGAGATATTCAATGTTCTTTGCCCATGGTAGAACCCCACAGAAGTGACGACTTGAAAGTCATTTTGATCAATGTTCTTAAGCATTCAAGGTCTCTCCTCAGCTAAATTCAAGTTGCAACATTATCTAGAATCTATTAGAATCATTATGAGAAAAAGGATGATGAAAAATCAAATCTTACACTACATCTTCTTTGTTAGAATTTCATAAAGATTCAAAGCCAATGTCATCACTTTAAAATATATCATGGTAAAATAGTTTATTATTATTCGTTAGAGAAACTTATGATTAATATTTCTTAATCAGTTGAGGGAGTTGAACCTATTAATTAACTGTTGTCTAATTATGAGATAAATTTGAGGATAAATTATAAGCGGCTAAACCTAGTAATTAGTGATTTTTATTAGACATTCAATATTGAGGAAATCAAAGAACATGGATTGTTCTTAGAAAGTAGACAAAGGTAAGGAGTTGAGCCACTTTAACCAACGTTGAGCTGCACACCCATTATCTTAATAAAATAATAAAACTTGAGATTTGAAGAGATAAAATATTTCAAATCGAGTTAACCAAAATCATAAATAGGATCAGATCAATTCAACCCCTCCTTTTTAATCTATATGTAATATTAAATCCAACACATGATCTATTCTATATTTTAGTTTTAATGAAGATAGGTTGACCATTGAGTCAACTCACCAAGTTGGATGAGTTTTACATTAATAGAACTAGAGACAATATGTTAAGAAAAATTATAAATTTTTGTGTCAAAATATCTTATCCATTAGGCTTTTAAAGTTTGTTTAATTTACTTCATTTGTAAAATTGTGTCTACTCAGTTGGTATGAGAAATAACCACCTAGACATTGAAGTGAGTTAACTAATGAATAAGACTTATCTTTCCAATGGCCTAGGGAGTGAGTTGACTCACCAAATATGAAAAGAATCAAATCCCATATATCACTTAACAAAATAAGTTGACTCATTTATAAAGAATAAGCTTCAAATTTGAATAAAAGGCTAAACTAGTAATTTGAACGAAAAGGAACATCTTTGTAATCCTTTACAATATTGCATACGCTTCAGTCTAGCTTTTGGAATTTATTAAAGTGTTTTAGATCTAACTTTATCATATTTTTTCTTTTTCTGTGACATATGGAGATCAACTTTTACATTGATCAAATAGTTGTTAGAGCACATCCTAGCAATTAGATTACCAATTTTTCTTATTTTTGTACTACTAAAATCACAAAAAATGGAGAAAAATGGCCTTGTATAAAGATCTTTCTCCTCAGCACTACAAGAGGGAAAATTCGTTCAAAGATCAAATTTCAACTTTTTCTTGTAAACATTCAAGCACCTCTACTCCACAAGATGTGTCCACATCTTAAAGATTAATAATGGAAGCCACTTGAAATTCCAAACTAAATTGTAAGAGCTCTTACTATTCTTAATTTTTATTTCAATGTTTTTAGTGCTTTCACTTATCTAGAGTCATAAAATAGAAAATAAATTAAATGTGAGCTTATCTTGAGTCATTAATTCAAATGGAATTTTTGAAAAACTCATATTCATTGAAACCAGATAATTTACTAGAAGCTAGTTGAAGCTTTGATGTTCAACATTTGTATTAACTTAAGTTCGCCAAACCTACATTTGTATTAACATATATACAACATGTCACCAAGAGGGCAGGGTGAATTAGTATTGATCTTTTTTTATTTTTCTTTCCTTTATTTATTATTAGGATCTAGAAGGCAATATGAATATTTCACACTATTTTTATAGTGGTTCGGCCACTTGATGTATCCTACTTTGTAAGTAAATAGTATGTTTCTATTTCCTTGACTCCCACTAAATTCTAGGTGAAATACACACTGAATTACATATTTCATTTGACTTATACTACGTTTACTTACTCCAATCAGATCATGATTTCACCTAATAATTTTCTTCTATATCCAAAATTATAATGGACCAAATCATAAGGAAATCCGTTCATCTCTTCAAAATTCACAATTTGAAGTCAAAAAAGATTAACAGCAGCTAATCTCTTATAGATTAAGACTTTATATAGGTATTGAGTGTCAATACACTCTAAATATAAAGTTAAAATATATTATTATTCTTAGTGTATATATTATTAGCTCTTAGTTTCCTAAAGGCTTCAATCCTTTGATTTCTCATTTTAGAAACTTTGGTGTGGATGAGTTGTTGATGGGCTTGAGCACAACTTGAGCTTCATTGACTTTGGGTACTCAAGCATGCATCAATCTTTCTTGGACTCCTTGTAGAAAGATGGTGAGCATGAAAGTTCCTTTCTGGATTTTTCTCTCTTTTTCTTTGCTCTATTACTTCCTCTCACGCTCCTTATGTGGGTTGAAGTGCCACCTTTTATAGATAATATATAAGGCTGTCTTTTACATGGAACATATGGAGGTCCCCGATGGTCTTTTGTAATGGTTCACTTTCTGTCACATCTATGCCCAAAAGCTAAACTTCATTAGTGCTTGTTAATTTTGTAAAATTTATAATAAATAAAACCTTTTGTAGTTCTTGCATCATATTCCTCTTTCAATTAACTTTCTAATGACTATGCCTATGTCCTTAACATCAATTTTCATCTGAAATCATGTTATTCATTTGAAATATAAATACTAACAATTTTACCCTATAGCAAATTTCTCAATAACTTAGAACATGATTATTGACCCTTTTTCCCTTGAGTAGATTCCTTTTAAAATTAAAACTTTCATTAATAAAAAGTAATACATAGTATCTGAACATATAATTCTACTTATTTGAATCTACTAAATTGCCCTTCCATACATATTTTCATCATTAAAACAATTTAAACTCTTAAAGCAATCAATAAGCTGGGTTAAACTACTATAAATAATATATATATATATAAGTTAGAAAATAAGAGTCCATGAAAAATTTAAAATATACCAATTCACTCCCCCATTTCTCTTATAAGCTAATTGCAACCAAAATGTGGTGTACACATATTATTGTTAAAAAAATGTTGATTAACATACAATCTTAGTTATTAAATAATTCATTAATCCAAGTTATATTCTACAAACATAAGAAAATTAGGAATCCAAAAAAGGTAAAATAGAAAATTAATAAAAAATAAAATTAAGTTAAATACCTTTTAAAAGGATTTTGCATCCTAGTGATGACAATTCAATGCTTACAAGTTAAATCTCCATCATCCACCTTTTCAAGTGCTAAAGATGAAAAAAAAGTAACTTGAAATTTCTACTGAACTCATCATAGTTGAAATTTTAAAAGAAAAATGTTATGAGGTTAAACGTAATTGTTTACTTATAATATTTAATTCATAGTGACAGAAATTCATCGTTAACAGCAACTGATTAAGATTGAATTTCTAGAGCTATAAATCTAGAATTTTTAGTTGGTACCATATCTCTCACATTTATCCCCTTTGAAGCTATTAGTGTGGAAGGGAGTTCTAGGAGCATTATAGCTTCTTGAGCTATAAATCTAGTGGATGATAGTTAAGATGGGGCCATCACTTTTTGTACTATCTATGGATAATCAAACACAATGAAAATTTCTCTAGAAAGTACAATATGTGAGGAGGGTCAAATCAGTGCAAATTATGTGTCTCTTTTGGCTTGGTACTCTTAATCATCTATAGGAAGTAGACTTAACTAAATTATAGTGTCCCCAGTTTGTTGTAGTATATTTCCTTAAATTTTAATCTATAAGAAAAAGAGGATCAATTCACCTCCCCCTTTTTTATTTCTTTGTTGATTGAACCAAACATCTACTTTCTTCATAGAACTCTCTCACCTTGCACTCTTAGTGCCCTCCCTCACTTTTCAACAACAAACCATCACTATTTTACCTTTCTCCTACAAGAAACCACTCTTCTTTCACATTTAGCTTACAAGCAACCCATTTACCAAATCTCCCTACTTTAGTCTCCATGTACTTGGAGAGGCAAACATGCAAGCATAGTTGTCCTAGCCTCTATTATGACACCCCTAGGATAGAGGAATGAAGTTTTTGGTTGCAGAACCTCACAATAGATTGACCCCGTGACACCTATTGTCCAATCTCTATCCTAGTATGACATCCTTTTTTTTCAACACTAACATACAATGGCAACACATGGCAACTCATTTGGGAATCACAAGGTCTTTAGTGCAAAAAATTTCTATCTTTTATTAACTATTATAGTAGTCAAACTTAATATACTCTTAATGAATGTTTCTTTGAGTGCAAACTTTATGCAACAAAGCACCCTAAGAGTGTTAGAATGATATAGCATTTAAAATAGATAATAATGAATATGAATGTTAGAGATGAAAAAGTGAATAGAGGAATATGATTATTACATATGATGAATCCTTAGTAATTGATAGAGATGAAATACTTAGAGAAGTTGGTATCAAAGTGAATACTTCATCATGATTTTTGTCCATGTGTATCTGGTTTTGTGTCATTTTATGAGAAACGCAAGTATTTGGTTGAATGTGACTCTACCTTTAGATAAGGTCCTTTCATTATAAAGATACTTTCTTGTAAATCTGACTTTAATGTATACTAAGTAGGATTATTTTGATGATCTAGTGATGGAGGCTGATTTCGTCTTAAGGCCTGCATCCAGTAAAGATGACTATCGTTTGTACTTGTGCTTTACTTATGGAGAAGAGGGAGAAGTGTAGGTGCTATTTTGATCCTCGTTATATGAAAGGTATTTTTTCTCAGGAAATATTTTTCCAATGTAGGGGACTTTCAGCTAAATTTGTGTGGATTATAATATTCTCAGCTTCTCCGCATGTTCAATATTTTGTTGTAGGGCTTGCCATCATTATCGGCCCACTGAGAAAGATTGCTCTCATGCGTGGATTAATGCTGAGGTGAATTCTCTACTATATTAAAAGTAACATTTTCCGTAACTTGATCAGGGTTTCTTAGACTTGGAACCGAATGACCAGATGAGCAAATAAATAAGAGATTAGAGTTGTCATCGCTCCTACGAGTTTCACGCAGGCATTCGTCTGTCTCATTTATTGGCGGCTAAGTCCACCGGTCTATCAATTACTACCACGTGGGGGGGCAACAGTGGGGGGTATTCCCGGATGATTTCCATACTACCACGTGCGTGTAGCGCTGACCTATATTTGCGTACCGGGCCCTGACCCGCCGGAAACCGCCGGAGATGGCAATCCACAGCCTGGCGCAGTCTTCTCGTCGTTTTGGGGATCCTCACACGGGGTTCCTGGAAACTTCCTAATCGCTTATCTCGACCGCCGGCAGTTCTTTTAAGGATATTCGCTAAGGTGGAGGATGATAATGGAGTAGCCTAAGCCAGGGGAGATTCTTTCCTCTCTCGCAATCATGGTGAACATGCCGCAGGTTCTACGATCACAGTACTCGCACTGCTGGCCAATGTAGGCCAGGTAGCTTATCTAGAAGGTCGAAGGTTAGCATGGAGGCCTGTGGCTTGCGGTGCCGATTAGCGGAGAAGGCGGCCTCCGTAGGGGAGAGCGCCGCTCTAGGCGGTTCCCTCTCGCAGGGGGTGAGCCACTTAGCCTGCATGTATTTGGACTTCCTCCATGGAGCCATGTGCATCTTGTTGTCCTCCATGCATTTCTTTGCGGCGGCACAGACAGTCTTGATCACCCCCCGCAGCTTCTCTGGCTTTCCTACGAACACCTCCGGCAGGCGGTAGACGAGGCGTCTGTACTCCTCACTAGCCCTAGCCATCTCAAACTCCGCCCGGAAGCAGACCTCGATCACCACTCTGACGGGTCCCTTGGTCCCATCGGCCGCCTCGACGACGTCGATGTAGGTGTGCTCGCCTGGTAAGAAACAGATCGTCGTCAGTGTCGATTGTTCGTTGCGGGATAAAGAAAGAATGCTCCTTTTAATGATCTGCACATAAATTGATGAGAGAGACGATAGGAGTACCCTTCGGTATGCTGGAAGAAGTTCTCCATTTGGAGTTGCAGACAGCGCTGTTGTAGCCGGCATCCCTCAGGCGTTCCGTGACCCCTCTCAACAAGCATTCCCGGCACTCGTTGGCGGCGTTTCTCGAGCAGGAGCATGCTCCAGCTTCTGACCGCAGATGCCGTATCGCGGCCTCCGTCTCCCGGCGTATCTGCGTCTCAAGGGAACTATTCCTAGACAGTAAAACCTGGATGAAGAACCAAGAAAAAAATATAACTTTCGTCAGCACGCCATCGCCCATAGAGGAAGAAGAATCAATGTGAAAACCTAGGTCGGATCGGACTGTACCTGGAGGACCTGGTGCTGTGATTCCCAGAAGGCCTTGCGCTCCTCAGCGCCGACGCTACTGCCAAAACCGTCGGATCCCTCGTCGCTGCTGCCGCCCTCTATGTCACCAGAATCGCTGCCGCCGTCGCGGTAGCTCTCTGGGTTTCCTTCCCCGTTCTCAAAGAACCCCAGTACCATGTCGGAGAGACTCATCACCCTCCCCAGAACACAGCACCCGTCCCTCCCCTCATCACCAGCCATCTTATACGTCCCGGAAACGATATCAGAGAGCCCGTCGAAGACGCTCTCCAAAGAAGGATCACCACTGCGCACAAGTTCCCTGGTGATTGTCCCCGGTGGCGCCGCCCCCACTCCATTTATAGCTCCCTGCCTCGGAGTGGATTGTCACGGGCTTGGGCTGGATCCCAGTGGACAGCTGACGCGGTTTGTGATCCTCGAGGTTGATTCCTTCGTGGCGCCCTAGGATTGGTGGGACCTGGTCGCCGGTGGCAGGGGGGTTTCGGATGAGCGCAAACTCCGATCCACGTCAGCCCCTTGAAACTATCTCCCCTCCCCCTGGAGCCACCACCGATCGTGAGTATCTCTTGCTCGTGGGTCGACATCATACGAAAACAACTCGGACTTTGTCAAATATCTTATACAGTAGCAACGCAGTGGCTACATGGTTACACCAACTGTCCCTCTCTCTCGCTCCCTCTCTCTCTATCTATCTATCTCTCCATCTCCCTCCCTTTCTCCCCTACAGATATATATACGGATAATTATGGGTTATTTAAGGCTATCACCTTCCTTGGTTATCAGACGATAACTTCTCCCCGAGCCCCAGCACATGGTTATCAGAAACAGTGGCTTGGCCGCCAGTCTATCAAACCAATGACGAACAGCTGACGAGAAAAATGATCTCCACGCTGGTGCAACGCGGTCCGCGAAGGAGCCCCGGTGAATCTAATCCACTCCCCGAGGACAAAGTCCATCATCTCCCACAATAAAGAGACAAGGACTTGATCCCGATTCCTACAAGGGATCTGAGCCCACCCTGGCCCGCCAGCTGCAGGCAGTGTGGTGTGGTCGCCTTCATCCCTGGAACCTTATCCGATTCGAGTGGTCGATTGAGCGTGCCTTGATAAAACGGGACGGGCTGCCGCCTCCAGGTGGCGTTGACAGCAACGCCACCGTCTAACCTGTCAGGAGATGGGGATGCCTCGGCGGCGCTAGCTCGTAATCGAGAGGCGCTCGAGCCCACCGTCTGGTGACCAACCCATTGGCGAGTCGGCATTGGCAAGGGCGCCGTCACGGCTTGTCGTCAATTAGTCGAACATTCAAGAAACAGATGGTGTGATAGAGATGCAATAGACCACGTGTAGAAGTCTAAGAAGCCAGTGAATTATTGTGAGTCCGGCAATTACTGAATATAGTATTAAGATAGATTTCGATGCTGCACGTAAGTACAAAACGTGGTACATCTCAGATTTTTCTATGCTTGAACCCTCAAAATCTAAGAAAGGAAAATGAGTACAATTCTGCCTGATTTCTATCCAGATGACTCCTGGATCTATACGAATTCTATAACGAAGCATGAAATCTCTCTCTCTCTCTCTCTCTCTCTCGCTATCTCCCGCGTTATTGTGACAAAATATCCGCATGCGACGAAATACATTACTAGACCATTTATCTCATGTTGATCTGCAGGGGAGGTTCAAGATGTTACGTACGTAAAAAGAGTATCGGACTCGATCATCGTACCTATTGACCGAAAAAGACGACTTCGAAACGTATCAGATCATATTGGGCCTGCGAAAACGTAATTAGATTGGACTGAAGTAGGCCATTTTGGGCTAACACGTAGTCCAACCAAATCAGAACATACGCGGATCGAGCATCTTTTACCCGTCGTTTTTTAAATACAAAAATGATACAAAATTGACACGAGCAATTAAATTCGTTATAATTGAGTGGAGCCCGTGCCACAAACCACAGTAAAAAGAAAAATTATTTTCAGACTCAGATCGGAAAAATAGATCATCCTCGAAGAAAAAGAATCAATGAGTATATCTAAATAATCCACTCATTTCGCGAAGAAATTTCTCATTTTGGAACCCGAATAAGTCCAGATGACACCATGGGCTCGGATCAAATTGGACCTATTTTTCCGACCCATTACATTCGGCCCAGATTGGACCATGTTGAGCCGAGTTTACGGATTGGTGTAGCAAGTCGATACAACTATATCATTAAAGAAGTCAAGATGTACATACATATATTTTCTCCTGGCACGGCGGAAGAACAAGGCTGGGTCTCTGCAATGCAGAACAAGTTTTTGGGCACTGCAGAAGAGGTGAAAGACGAACTAAATCCATCTCTATTTATGAGAGTATTTTGGCATTCATTAGACATGGCATGATCTCACTTTAGAAACAGTAACTTATCTTTAATTCAGATGTTTCGAAAATTTACGGCCATATTAGGCTACAGAATGTTATTTCAGAAAAAAATTAGAACCAATTTACCCATGACAAAACACAGAAGAACTAGAACTGTCGATGGCCTGTTCGGAGGGAAAACTCATTGGAGGAACGGGAGAGGTAGCAGAGGAGAGAGAGACGGGAGAGAGAGAGTACAAGATGGCATTAGGCTGAAGGAGAGGAGGACGAGTAAAGGACGGTCTTTCGAGGGAGGCGGCGGCGGTGACCCCATGTGATGACGAGGCCCTCCGCCGATCCACTCTCGCCGGCCCGCCCATTGAGGGAGCTCGCGGGGCCTGGCCGGAGGCGCTGCCGCTGCGGGCCGGTCTCTCCCGTTGGCAGCACCCTGGAAGCTACGCCGCGTGCCACGCGATCAATCTAAAATGTAGCAAGGTGTTTGTTCACAATTTCGTTGTTTATTTCCACCTTACGTAGCCCGTTTGACCGTCCGTGCATGCTTTGCAAGGCGTTGGCCAAGCGTAATCTTCTGGGTTAGGTGGTGATGGCTGCCGGCGATTACGACAAGATCATGGTTTCCCAGCTGTCACGTTCTAACTTCAATCCATTCAGCTCACGGCAGCGGCTCCCATTGGAAAATACAGCAGTATCTAGAAAAATAACAAAACATAGAAAACCATGGATTCCTGATCCAACCGCGTAGAATAACACACGAATCTATTCACCGCGTATAAAATTCACACAATCTATTAAAGTATGCATATTCTTAGATTTGGAATTATATAAACGGAATCATGTGTGATAAATATCACCAAATCGTGCCATACTTTCTTCAAACCAGCATTTATTGTTACCTGTCTCGCCATCCTTCTGCTACGTCTTCTTCTTCCAAGCATTAGACAATAGTAGACCAGTGGTAGTCAACAAGGCTTCGGTCTGCCATTTCCGCCGGCAAGATGATCTCTTTCTCCTTGTCCCTTTCACTTCAGTACCTAGGGATCAGTCAATTTTATGCCCTTGTAAAGTTTGCTAATTATTAACAGTCCCTGAATCTTTTCAGTACCTAGAGTTGAGTTCTGTTTCAAATGAATACTAATACACGTGAAATAGTCTTAACTAGCTCTTCTTCAGCCATTAAGTTTTCAAGTTGAAAAAAGGAAAGGCTTGGTATAGGTTGATAACAGTGGTATCTATGTCTTTCTACTTGTAACTTGGGTCAGGTTTTTACTAGTCACAGTCAATTTCATTCACTATGAGGAAGTATTCGAAGATGAAGATATAATTGAAAAGGTAGGGGTTTTTAGTAATCAGGAAAGTTATTTTGCAGTTAAACCTAACTAGTACTAGGAATCAATTTGTTGAATATGATGGGTGAGAGAGAGAGAGAGAGAGAGAGAGAGAGGAATATGATGGTATTTGTGTCTTTTTACTTGTGATTGTGGTTCAATTTTTGCCCACCACAATCAGTTCAGTATAAAATGCCGTGAGTAAGCTTGCGAAGATAAACACAGAATTGAAAAAAGAAAGAATTTATTCGCAATGGACAATTTCTTTGGGTGGTTCAAACACGGTAACAAATTTTTCATTATTTTTAAGTGAGAAAAAAATCAATCGCCAGAACAGAGGCTATCAAAGCTTTAATTGATGGCCCTTTCGAATTTGAAAACGAGAGAGGATGACAGAAACCCCAAGTATTTTATATGATTGTGGTTTTTCTTCATGGCGAGGGGGGGAAAAAGACACAGATTTCCTTCTCACTGGACCGGTCCTTAGACAGTGAGATATATTGATTTATTTATTTCGTGAAAAATACTTCTTCAATGAAGATGGACGATCACCAACGGGCTGAGGCCCGCTTCGAGGGCTCCTCCGCGTCGCCGTCTGACGGCAGCGTTGAAGTCAAAGGTGCCAGCTCTCAGGAAGCGATAATGGTTAATGGGTTCGTACAAGAGGTTCCGTTAAAGCTAACCAGCCGGGTCAGAGCTGCCGTCCAGAAACCAGCGAGGTGGGGTGGTAAGGCAGATGGCGGGAGGCCCCCTCCATCTCTCCCTCTTCCTCTTCCTCTTCCTCTTCGTCGTCTCCTCGCCCACGCCCCCGCCAGCGGCGGCGGCCGATATCCTCCTCAACGGCTTCGACCCCTCCGTTCTCGCCCTCTACGGTGACGCCACCGTCGGTGCGGCGGTGGAGGGGCACCGCTCTCTCTCCCTCACCAACGCCTCCAGCTTCTCCATCGGCCGCGCTCTCTACAGGTCTAAGGTGGCCCTCCGCCGCTCCGCCAACTCCTCCATGGCTTTTCAGTCCTCCTTCATCTTCTCCATGGCGCGCGTCCCCGGCTCGGAACCAGGGCACGGCATCGCATTCCTCTTCTCACCATTGCCGGGTCTCCAAGATGCCATACCTGCGCAGCACATGGGCCTCTTCAGCCGTTACAGCAACGGGAACCGCACCAATCGGGTTCTTGCCATCGAGTTCGACGTCTTCCGGAACGAGGAGTTCTCCGACATCGACGACAACCACGTCGGCGTCGACCTCTTCTCTCTCACCTCCGTCGTCTCCCGCAGCGCAGGGTACTGGCCGGACGGCCCTTCGTCCTCTTTCGTGAAGCTCAAGCTGAACGACGGCTCCAACTACCAGGCGTGGGTCGACTACGAGGATGGACGGCTTAATGTGACTATGGCGCCGGCGGGGAAGAGGAAGCCCCTCCGGCCCCTGATCTGGACTGATCTGGATCTCTCAGAGGTGTTCTTGGATGATATGTATGTAGGCTTCTGTGCCGCCACAGGGGTCCTGGTGGAACATCATAGGATTCTCTCCTGGAGCTTCAGCAACCACAACTCCTCTCTCAGTGAGGCCCTGGTAACCTCCAATCTCCCCAGTTTCCGGCCGCCGACGGAAGGCGGCGGGCTGCCGAAGGGTGTCGTCGCGGGGATCTCGGCTGCCGGGGTTGTGGTTTTCCTGTTGGGGTCGGCGTGTCTGCTTCTCGTTTGGCGGCGGCGGAGGAATCAGAAGAAGATGGAGGCGGCGGAATCCGGCGGCGGAGGAGAAGAGGCAGCGGAGGAATGGGAGATGGAATACTGGCCCCATCGCATACCCTATCGAGAGATCTCCACCGCCACCGACGCCTTCTCGGAGCTGAAGCTCATCGGCTGCGGCGGCAACGGGAAGGTGTACAGGGGAGACTTGCGGGGAGCCCAGGTGGCGGTGAAGGTGTTCGCCAGAAACTCGGAGGAGGATTTCAGGCAGTTCGCGGCGGAGGTCTCTAGCCTCGGAAGGCTGAAGCACCGGAACCTAGTGGGCCTGCGGGGCTGGTGCAGGAGGAAGGAAGGAGGGGGGCTGATCCTCGTCTACGACTACATGGAGAACGGGAGCCTCGAACGGTGGATCTTCCCCGGCGAAGGAGCGGCGAAGAAGCCGCTGGACTGGCAAACGAAGATGAAGATCCTCAAGGACGTGGCCGCCGGCGTACTGTACCTGCACGAAGGGTGGGAGGTGAGGGTGCTCCACCGGGACATCAAGGCGAGCAACGTAATGCTCGACGGCGCCATGAACGCGCGGCTGGGGGACTTCGGGCTGGCGCGGACGCACCCGCGCGGCGGCGGCGGGCTCGGCACGAGCCGGGTGGTCGGGTCGGTGGGGTACATGGCGCCGGAGGTGATGCACAGTGGCAAGGCCTCCGCTGCCACTGACGTCTACGGCTTCGGGGTGCTGGTGCTGGAGGTGGTGTGCGGGAGGAGGGCGGTGGAGGAGGGGAGGGCGCCGCTGGTGGACTGGGTCTGGGGCTTGGCGGAGAAGGGGAAGATGCTGGAGGCGGTGGACACTTCGCTGCTGGGAGCGGCCGAGCATGAGGTCGGCTGGGTTCTGCAGCTGGGACTGAGCTGCACCAGCGTGGACCAGACGTCGAGGCCCTCCATGTTGCAGGTCGTTAGGGCCCTGGAGGGGCCCTATGGCGCGCCGTGGGAGAAGGAGACGGAGGAGAAGGTGGGGGCGGAGGCGGCGCTGCTCGCCCGTGGGGCGGTGGCGCCGACGACGAGGGCGTGGGGGCGGTCCATGAGTTCGCGGCCCGGATTGATGACGGCCGTCAAGCAGCAGCAGAAGGTGCAGCAGCACCTCACCTTCGAGGAGTTGTGGCAGTCTGTCTCCTGCTCAACGTCGCTCTCCAGCTCTGATGTCATCGTGGAGGGGAGGTGACCCCCAGGAAGGCCGTCGGATCACAAGAATTTCATTTGACTTCTTGGGCTCTCTCAAATCGTCCCATTTTGTAAAGGGTCGTTCTCTCTTCGAGCAGTTGATGAGGTAGACAATCGACTTTGTGAGCGGCCGGGTTGGTTTCTCTGTACAAATTTGTGTAGTGATCACAAGTAGAGTACGTCTTTGAGTCGTACATACGAGGGGAACCTGACGACCGGGGCTCGGACTCATTCCCCATCGCCGTCGAATGCAATTGGTGAGGCGGACGTAGGGACCGCCGCCGCCGGGAGTCAACCAGGGCCGCAACAAGCGGGCCACAGCATGACTCATCAAACCGCGTCCCGCTGACGGAGCAGATGTCAACGTCGGTCATCCGTCCGCGCCGCTATAGAATCCAACCTAGTGTTCCGCGACGGCAGATCTTGATTTAGTCAACATCATCAGCTGCTACGCAAGCTCAACATCCCACCCACACGATTCTCACCCTTCGGCAAAAGCCAGCTAGAACACATCGAAAGATAACAACAGCGAGAGCGAGAGAGAGAAGGGCAGCCCATTTCACCTGAATCTTATAATCATTCACAATGTGACCCTATACAGAAAAACCATAATGCCGGCTACTAGAAATGCACAGGCTGGGAATAGAGACGCTGGAGTTCTTGGCTACGGAGGAGGCTCAAGCCGCTCCTCGACTTGAAGGGAATAATGGGGCCGCCATCCGGCCGGAGGGGAATATCTGAGCCCCCTGTTCATAAGCCCTGCTGCTGCCCTGCTTCCCCGCGGACTGGCCCTTCCTGGCTTTTGACTTGTCGGTGCGAGCCCTGCGGAAGGCCTCCTGGATCTGGCGGTCGTGGTCCTTGAGCATCTGGTCAATGTTCCCCTTCCCCGACGGGCGGAACAGCGGCCCAGAGTAATGAATCTTGGCGCCCTTGGTGGCGCACGCCTGTTGCAGAGAGAGGAGATGCCGGAGAGATTAGAACAGGAGTGATGGTGATTGATTCAAAGAGAACGAACCAGGAAGAGACGTCACCCACCAATTCTTGATCCCTGTTGCTGCTCTTCTCTTCTCCTCTTCGGCGAGAGCCCGACAAGTGGGAATGATAGATTTCGTCGCCCTTCCTCGCTGAATCCGACAGATCATTCCTCGACTCCGACAATCTGCCTGCAAAGCCTGTGGGATCCATTTCGGAGCCATACTTTTCTCTGCTTTCGTTTAGGGAAGCATTCCTCCGGGTTTCCATCAGACCCTCCAGGGAGGACAAATTAGCCGCCATCGTAGCCTTGGGGGTCTCGCTGTCCTTGCGTCCCTTGGCCCACTGGTCCCGATGAACCAGTGGCCCCGAGTATGAAGCTCTGTTAGGGAAACGAGTGCGAGACTCTTCAGCTGCTTCCAAGACGGAGCCTTGTCTGGGCGGCTCAATCGGGAAGCCTGAGGCGACATCCTCATGCTGTGAGCCGAACTTTTCGCTTCTACTCTTAGACTGGGGCTGGCCTTGCCTTTTCTGTGCTCGGCCCATCAGAAAGAACCAGACAAATATTAAAACCGACGACAGAAAATCACAAGTCAAAGTATAACTCGGAAGGAACCAAATCGCTGCACTGGCAAGTTAATGTGAATAATGTAGCCAACCACAACCAAGTTACCGATGGATGGGTAAACAATGCCCAACCACCCCCCGTACCATTGACCGCGAGAAACTTCAGCTGCTTTTGTTGACTCTCAGTTTCGACAATGGATGGGATACAAAACAGAACCCAATGGGCTTCGAAAGGAGGCTTCTGACCTGATATTTGATAAGATAAGTCACAGCATCTAATAAACCAAAGCTGAAGTCGAGTTTTCACAAGAGTTTTCACCCACAACATATCCTGTACGCCAATTTGACCAAGTCCATACGGATCTGGGTTCCTGACTGGGTCCAGGGCGTGGACCTCAACCCAGAACGTTTTTAAAGACGTATCTTTTATTTTCTTTGACCCTAGCATGAAAACCACTGGCCATGCTCACAGCAGCGTCTACAGTTTCACCCTCAACTCATTTTCACCTCTTCTTCCTACACCCAGGATTCCTCTTCTGCTCTAACCATCATATCCCACAACCACAAAGCTGGTTAGGATGGACGAGGCCTCAGCTAAAAATGGCATGCATGATCGGGGACATTACCGTAAAATAACAATGTAAGATAACGTTCCTTCCACTCAGCAAGCACCGAATAAAACCAGACTAAGGAAGCCATTGACCCTATCAAAGCTAGAAAAACTAGGGTCAAGGTTCTGAACTGGCAGAGAAAAGTTGGAAAAGACCAAATGGCGATCTATGAGCGGAGTAAACAATGAATATTCTTGACAGTAGAACATGAAAGAAATTTAAAGTTTAAAAAAGGTGAAGACATGTCATGCTTCCAATGGCTAATGATAGATGCAAAAGAGAGCAAACGAATTTTTGGAGCATCTCATAGTAATTCTTTAGCATTGAAGCTCAAGTAGGTTTTCTTTAGTTCAGCAAAAAGCATCTTCAAACAGTCTTCCTACTTCTGACGACAAAGCCATGCAGACAATATGAACAATCAAAGCTTGACAACAACTATATATAAAGGCACAAACTTTGGATTCGGAAGATTACTATGGTGAAGTTCCAAGGAAGAAAAATGACAAGTGGGAATAGTAAAACGGAATGTTCTGGGACAGATCAAAGACCCCAGAAAAATACCTAATCCCACGGTAAAGACGAATAATTTTACCTGTATTGATGCAGCTAACTCTGCATTCGCGTCGGGTGCTGCAACAGCTCTAGAGTCTCTCGCTCCTTTCCTTTCAACATCAGCTCTCTGCATCCTGCTAGCTAAGGCTCCTTGTCTGTAAATACAAAGCAAATTATCAGTGAGATGCACAGCGTGAATTTTCAGATCACGCGGGTATTAGCTATTCACAAGATTTGGTTTATACATATCAACAAGCACAGACATTAGCATCAGTATTAACGTTTTTGCTTCTGCAAGCACCGGAGATGGTACACAATTTTTGGGTTATGCAACATGTAAAATCATTCCTTCGCGGAGCATATGACCGAATAAAAGATTTGTTATCCTGCTAGCACTCCAGAAGGGACTAACTTATAATTTCTGAAAAAGGAGGGGAGGAAGTTCAAAGAAAAAAAAAAAAAGGTCCAGAGTAGTGTAACATGACAACCCGAAGAAAAAATATGTGACATCTAAAGGAAACAATTTAATTAACGTCAACGTACAAAAACGATCCTATAACGTCGCCAAAAGGACTCAATTCAAAATTGCATCCGTAACAAGATAAATGCCTCAAATTTGAGGAGTTATATCCCATTATGCATGTGAAAAGGTATTTTTTAGACTTTTCATCTGACCCAAAAAAATGATATGCTTAAGATATTATACGGAAACAGAATATATGAAACAGACTAACCTTCGAGCTTCTTCGTCCCGAACTTTTGCATCAAACTCTTTGCTGGGAGGATACTTAGGCAAACTTGAAGGATCACAAGCAAGTGGTTTTGTTGTAAAGAACTGAAAATAAATAATGTTACAAGATGTTTTAGGATATTTAGGCAAAAACTGAGAAATCAATGGACCAAGAGAAAATGATTCTAGTGAATAAATGCATTAATATTTTCTGAATTATAAGTTGGAGAAACAGATTTTCAACATTCATGATTGATGCACTTATCAGAATAAGAACTGAAAACTATAAACACCAAAAACGAGATAATTGATGCATCTGTTGAGTGATTCCGCATCCATTCACAGAGAAAGAGAGCGCCCACTTTAATACAACAAAAGAGAAATAAGTTCAGGTCAGATAACAAATTACTAACTTCGTCTTCTCTTCTCTCCGGGTAATAAAGTGAAAAAAAATCGTAAATTTAGTGCATGTAAGAGGGTCAAGCCTCTATTTCATATTTCCCATACTGTGTAAGCATCAAAATATATATTCAATCAAAACATATAAGTACACAATGAGGCATCTTCCAATGGGACAATGCATCATGGAAACTGACTCCCTAACAAAAAAAAAAACATGGTTTGAGAGTAAAGAGGCCTAGCATTTACATCAGAGAACAAGAATTTTCAGTAAAACTGGAGACTGGACTTTGTCACTCTTTCTGAGGGGTAACATTATCAGGTGGAAGAGGTAAAATTCAAATAAACTAATTTGACATCAGTGAAGGCTGTCATTATTGTCAGCAGAAGATTTAAGTGGATCAGCGACCACATATGTACAACCAAATTAGCTTTCAAAATAAACAAATAAAAGTAATAAGCTCTAAAAAATAACCGAACTAATGGTTAGATGGTCTGCATGATAATGTAGGAAACAATAAGGATAAGAGATCATGCTTGTGTTCTACGGCTTAAACATTCATTCAAGTGATTCCAAAAAATAATTGTGGTTCTCATTATAAGTGTGATGCAAGCTTCGTAGTAATGACTGCAGTAAGGATGTTTAATTTTTGAAGTAAGAAAAAAGTATTAGAACCTACAGTAAGGATTTTGCACGAGATCCCTTAAACAGTTATATATACACGTGAAGGACAACAAGATGCTTTACAAATATAGCATCAAAGGAGAAAAAAATTTGATAGGCAATAAAAATGAGAGAAAATAAAATGGCTATTGGCGTTTTCAGCACATGAATCCTAAACATTATGTAATATCCTGAGGAACTATCACTCACATCCTAGAGCACCAGAGGAAAAAAATACGATGCAAACTTAATCCTAAGCTAGCTCACTCGAAGTCTCTTCAACAAAAGACAATTTGTGAGGCATATGCAATACCTCGCTCATAAGGGCAGATGCAGAAGTCCCACGATCAGCTGGATCAATAGAGAGGAGAACATCCATTAGTGCTAAAGCTGGCACAGGGAAGTCTTTGAAAGTCTCTGTAACACATCGCCTATATGGCTGCTGCGGTTTAAAAATAGTGGCATGAGGCAATTTTGATTTTCTCCAGTAATCCTCTGATGGAGAGCCACAAAGCTTGAAAATTTTGTGCAACTGCTCGACCTGAATTTGGAAAAGAAAATATTTGAGCGCCTGACAATTAAATTTAGAATGAATTGCTCATCAAAATTTTAAGATAATTATCAGGTGACATCACCCCTTATTTTATTTACGAACCTGAAAGTGAAAACAAAACAGACCAAGGGAAAGGCATTTGTCACCAGTGTCCCCACTGAGCAACGTTATCACCACTTTAGATCGCGTTGAGTTTTTTGTTTAAATCTCTGATAAAAAACGTGTCACAGGTAAATCATACAATCCCATTTATTGGTGTGGCCATGTTTTAAGTTATCAAAAAGGCATATGCATAGTGTACCAATGCAAGCCATCTGATAAGCACTCACCTCGACCATACAAACTTCTAAGATGGAACAGATGGTACTCAATGGGATATGCATTTCCAATGGTATCACGTTTTTAGCTGGATCATTTTTAAGCCTCGCCTATCTAGTCCCAGACAAAAATAAGCCATTGGTAGAAAGAAAACCAACACTTGGTATATCAATATCCCGACTCAAAACTTTATAACTTATCATTCTTCTTACTCTGATCACAAAACCAAGATATTTCAGGCAGGCGAATCAGAGGCAATCATGAATAACCTGGTGGGAACATGAAAAAACCATCCAGGAGCCGTCATGCTTGTATTGCATCGCATTTTGCTTTTGCATGTATTTTATTTAGTTTTTTCGTCCCCTCTAGTTAGTCCTTGACTTTAGACACTCTCCTGGCACTATGTTCTTTGTGATTCACCAGTGATGCCTGCAGAATTATAGGAGCCAACATTGTCAGTATCACCAGCCATGCACCACTCTACGCTACTGTGTTAACGCAGAAAACCTGGTGCCAGCAACATGGTCCAACAAGATCTACAGCCGCAACTACTGCAGCCAGAACCCAGGCAGCATGCAGGCTACTGTCACTCCCAGCACCAGCAAGCTTTGCAAGGTGGTTTGACTATAGCAGATGAAAAATATAGTCCATCACCAGCTATAGGCACCATCACTCATCTATATAGCCAGAAGGGTGCTGACAAGCAACAGCAGATATGGTTTTTTCTTTTTTTTGTTCAAGCCTCCACAGTTGGTCGCAGATGTTCACAAAAGCTGAAGATGGCGAAAGGAATTTAAAGTAGACCATCTTGTTTCCCAGAAATCAGGAGGAATGGACTACAGAGCAGTAGTCCAATGTGACTCTCCGTATCAATCCGTACTTCCTTGATGCCAAGTGGCGGAGGTCTATATAGCACTAGTGCGTTATAAGGGTGGAAAAAAATAGATTTCTGGCCTTCATTTCATAAGAGGAATTGTCCATCCTTGCAACTGATTGGTTCAAAGTCGGAGTATATGATAGCCTAAATGGTAATCTCGAACCGTAGAAATTTTCGCTCAAAGATCCAAGGCTGGTGGGATTGTTTTACTTTACGAATACCCTCAGTAGCCAAGGCTGAGTTCTTGGAATTATGAAGGAGAATCACACGCAGTTTTTCAGACCTTGATCATTATCATCAACAACAATGTGCCACGAAATTTGATTTCTAGAGGAAACTCTTAAACACCACCTATTCCAGATAAGTCTGATCCTCCACAGGATATAAGTGATTAAATTGATTGAACATGGAAAGATGTGAATCAAGTTATAAAAGACAGCCAGAAAATGAAAGATAAAGCAAAGCATATGCGAGGAAAAGATAGAAGCAAATATTGATTGAAAGTGCACATAGCATCATTTAAGGTCTTTGACTTTGAGGTGTTTACGTGCCTGGAAGGATATAAACAAGCTAGCCATCATACAGTTGGGGCAATTTCCAGCTTATCCAAAATACACTTAATTCTTCAACTAAACTATTTACATCATATGCAGAAAAATTACCTCAGTTCTGCCCGGCATTATTGGCTTGCCTGCATACAATTCAGCCAGGATACAACCAGTGCTCCACAAATCCACAGCTACCCCGTAGTTAGTTGCCCCTAGTAAAAGTTCTGGGGGGCGGTACCAGAGAGTAACCACACGACTTGTCAGCGGGTGGCACTGGTTAGGATCAAAAAAACTTGCCAAGCCAAAGTCTGCAATTTTTAGAACGCCGGTGTTGTCAATCAGAAGATTGGAACCTTTGATATCCCGATGCAAAATATTACGACTGTGGCAATGATCTAGGCCACGCAGTAATTGCTGCATGTAGCATTTAATCTGTAGAAATGAAAAAGAAAGATGTCATACACACAACAATCATTTATGGGAACCATCTACCAAGAATGAACAAAAAAGAAAAGCTGAAAACTGCGACATTCCATCCTACAAGATCATAAAATAATAATTTTCGTATGCTATATATCTATATCTATATATATATATATCTATGTGTGTGTGTGTGTGTGACATCTGAAGTGAAACAACGAAAAAACTACCAGTACAACAAAAAATCAATGAAACTGACAGTATCCAAGGAGATACAAACAGGGAACTGAAAGATTTTATTGAGAATACCTGTGGTTCAGTAAACTTCAGACCAGGGAAAGAAGCCAACCCAGCAAGATCATGCTCCATATATTCAAAAACAAGATACAAACTGCAAGACATTCGTGAAGTTACCAATCCCTCTAGCTTTATTATATTCGGATGATCAAGTCTGCGCAGTATGTGGATCTCCCTAGCCATGAAGCGCACACTTTCCGGCTCCAGGTTATCAAATCGCACCTTCTTCAGTGCAACAATTTTACCATTATCAATGTCACGAGCCCGGTAAACATTACTGTAAGTGCCTTGACCAATCTGAAACGAGTAGAAGAATGAACAGTGAACCATGAAGTCAGAAATATCTAAGAAGGCAGCTTTTCTGTCATAACTGCACAGAATCAAGGGAATGTTTTACGAAGATGATGAAAAAAATCCATCCATCAGTTGCAATAATATAAAGCATTATACGCAGTCCCAACTTCACAGATCCTTTTCGAAATCTTAATTTTATCCATAGGACCATGCTTTGTCAATTTTTCTTTGGTAGACGGTCGGTTTTGCTCAGTAAAACCACTCCATTTTCTCTACTTTCATTAGTCGACACTGATTCGCTCTCGAAGCACAATTTTACTGAATAAGCATTTCGTGTAGCATTACAGCATTTCCAGTTGTGAGAGAGAAGAAGAATCTAACCTTGTCGAGTTTCTCAAAAGAGTCAGCCCGGCGAGGGACCCAGCCCCTAATGGCCTCTCCGGCCACCGTAGCCAGCCACGGCGGCCATCCGGCCGCCACCTGCTCCCCTTCTGTGGCCTTTGGGAGAGCTCCTGCTGGCTTGGGATGATAGAGGTACGCCTGCCTTTCCTTCCTCCTCTCCAGTTCCTGGGCGTAGAGATAGCCCTGCCTCTCACTCCTCCTCTCTAAATCCTGGCCATTAAGCTTGATCGGACCACTGCGCTGTGTCTTCTCCCCTATCACCGCATCTCCACGGGTGGCGGGCAGTTCTTCTCGCCTTGAGGATGATACAATGGCCCTCCGCTCCATTGTCGAGAGCTTCCCCGACGCGATCGGCTGGGCAGCCACAATGACTGCCGCAGCAGACATCCTCTCCCGCGGGCTCTCCTGACTGTCCTCGATGGCCGAGGCCTTGCAGCAAATGCAGCCCATCATCGCCTGAAGAGAAGACAGGGAAGACGAAGAACGACCCTGGCGACGATCTGTGCAGCTTTTCCAGCGGAGTGCGGATCGCGAGGGCGAGGGCCGCCGTCGACCCGGTCATCGCGCCACTTCTTCTTCTTCCACGTCCATCGCAACTCCAAGGGGAGGGCAAGATCCGAAGAACGACGAACAGGGAGCTCCGAGCGAGGGGCAACCGGACGATCCGCGGAGGGGGCACTAGATCGACGCAGAGAGCAAGACAAACCCTAGAGAGCTACTATAATTTCCCCTTTCCGGATGGTATGACGTGACCCAGACGATGAAAAAAATAAATCTGCAAGCTTTATTCCATTAATAAATAAGGGTTTTGGCGAGGACCTGAGTGGTAGCAGTATCCAAGGGCACCGTCGCTGCACCGGCGCAGAACTACCACTCCACACACCCCACTTCTCTTCTCTGGTCTCTGGTATCCCTTCCCTCTCGCCTCCTTCAGCCTTCAATAAGACCATTCATCACTTCGTACATCTAATTGCAGCCATAAATACAGTTCCAAACTGTTCATCCTCTCGTCTTTATCGTCTCATAAATCCCCCACCTTCTTCCTCCCCTCCTCGCAGGACGGCCCTATTTCCTTTACCGGTACCGATGGACAGCCGCAACATTCCCCTCGAGCTCCCCTGGATCACCAAGACAGCGCCATTATTGCGCCGCTGTTGCACCCTCTGGGGACGCGCGTGGCTCCACCTTTCCTCTGTCTTTACTCCCCCACTTTCCCCTTCAGCTGCCCGATCCTCCCCCTTCCCCCCCGGGTAACAAAGGGTTTTCCTCCCTCATCCATGCTTAAACAATCTTCGCAGATGGAGAGAGAGAGGGGGAGAGAGAGAGAGAGAGAGATAGAGATGGAGCTCCTCGTCAGCCCGTCCCCAGCTCCAACTCACGCGAACGACAGATCCACCGCCCGTCCCCACAGCTCCTCCGGTCACGTTAGAAAGGTAGAACTGGAGCGGGGTTGGGCTGGCTGACCTTAGCGTCTTCCGTTGACTGCCGTCACGTGAGAACTCTAACTGGTCAATCCCATGGTTCAATCTCCTGTTTAACTCCAGTTGCGGGGCGCACCCACGTGAGACCGCCGTTGCTCAGAATAGTCTCCGGAAAGCTGCTTGTCCGCTAGCTGCATTCACCTTCTTTACCTGCCCTCTCTCTCTCTCTCTCTCTCTCTCACTCACTCCCTCTCCCTCTCCCTCTCTCTCTCTCTCTCTCTCTCTCTCTCTCTCTCTCTCTCTCTCTCACACACACACACACACACACACACACACACACACACTCACTCCCTCTCCGTCTCACTCACTCACTCACTCACTCCCTCTCTCTCTCTCACTCACTCTCTGTATCTATCTGTCTACTGTGTCCTTGTGATTGTATTATACATTTCTCGCCGAGTTCTTTCTTATTAATGGACCAGGTGGACGCCCATTAATTGGGGGTGAGGCGGGTAGATCGGCGGGATTCGCCCATTATGGGCCTATAGTCCTCGATCAAAGCCCACTGTTGAACGACTTTTAACACAGTTTCCTGACTGGTGTACTTTGGGCCGAGATCCCTATCGGGTCTTTGTCTTTTGGGCTTAAGCCGTCTTAAAACCAGCCCACCTCGAGAACGGTGGCCGTTTCCTATTGCCAGGTTTCATTTGCAGAGATCTATGATCCGACCGCCCGCTGTCCCCTGATCTGTCGGTTGGCAGGGTGCCACGATGAGGCTGTGGACAGGAGTGTGGGTCCCTGGGGCCGTGGGCCCCACGCCTCGACAAATCAACGACGGCCCCACCAAGACGACTCGCAGCTTTCGACTTCGGGGATTTGCCGCTCGATCCAGATGACGACGGCAACCTTTTCCGGCGAGTCATCCTCCGCCGGCGGGTCATCCTCCTCACCGGACTTGCTCGTGTGCCTCTCCGTGGTTTCCCAACGGAAAATATCGTGTATCCGCTCTACAACCGATCGAAGATCCTCTGTACCTCCCTCCGCAACGAATTTATCGGGTTGACGGTTTTTGATTTACCAGATGATTACGAAGACAAGTGGAGCGCCTCTTCCCGCCTGGTTCTCGCTACCCTGCGGCGTCTATCTCGGCGGCAAAATCGGGTATTCGCGTTGATTCCGGAGTGCCGGTGGTGCGGATCTGCCGATTTATAGTGTATCGGCTTTGGCCGGGCGATAGAAGTGCCACGGAGCACAGCGGAGCGGCGGCGGGGAGATGAGTGGGTAAGCCAGTCGAGCTGGAGGCACAATGACCAGTTGGTCATCGGATGAACACACGGCGAGTTATGGACCGATGCAACATCAGCCGCAGAGCGGAGCCATGTTGCTGATTCAGTCGACCTCCGGCTTTGGCCGCAAAGGTCAGAAGATGTCCCTTTCGGGTTCCAAGGAGAAGGAGAAGCCTTTCTCGCGGATCTGCAAGCCTTGCTTGCCGATTAGAGTAGGCATGTTACTTCTAGCCTTGGCATCTGCCGCGGTTCTCGTGATGATTTTGACTGGCTTCAAAAGATGTAAGGCCTTTACTTGCTACTTACTTTTTGTTCTAGTGTTCCTATTTGACACGATTTCCTATTTATTCATTCATCTCGAAATTTGATAGAAGCTTCAAGATTTCGCGTGCCTCATCTATCTTTTCTATTTTGACGTGTATTTAAGTTCAACATTCGCCAGTCGAGTATCGTATCTTCTTTTTTGTTCCAATTGAGTTACATTCAGATTTTTAACTGCGTGGAAAAGCGTGGGTAATATGATGGACTTCAGAGTCTTAGTTTGTGCAGAAAAAATCCGCAATTTATTGTCCACTCTAAGTCGGTATATCAGCCTATTTGGTTCCTTCACCCACAATGAAAGCCAATGTCTCTTCCCTTGTGGATGAGAGGAACTAGCATGGCGCGAGCTTTCGTCTGAAGACGGTCCACAACGAGTAAAGATTGCCAAGGAGGACTCAGGCAGAACTTACCCGCAATCTTTAGTCAAATTATGAAGAAAGGCACTTCAGAGAACTGATATTATACCTGCTCCTCAGAATAGCTCATGGAATGATCTTATCCTTTTAAGCTTGGAAGAAAACATAGGAATTGAAATTAATATCATTGAAAGGAGCAAGCCTGAGAAGCAGTAAAAGACACAGATAGACCATGTTCTTTCCTTATTATCACCTGCACCCCCACTATTGCAACACAAAAAATTAAAAAACCCTTAATCCTGGTGTACGTTGACCTAGCATGATGACTAGTAGTCGATGATGACTTAATGTTGATGCCTTTACTTTCCATCATACTGCCTCCTTTTTTCTGGAAGGAATGTCATAATCTGTTGAATTTTTGGGGATAACAGCAGTGTCTCCTAAGAATGCGATACATGCATACCCAAGTTTTGGAGTCTTCTTTTCCAGCTTTTGTCTTGGTTTGAATCATTTTGGTCTGTGGTACGCTGGATATCTTGAATCATCCGTATTTAACGCTTCAACTTTTTTATAAAAGACAACTCATCTTTAGATCGAGCTACTCATTTCATGTTGAAAAACAAAAGGGCTTCTGTAAGACCAGATTATCTTTTGGTTGCCTTTTTCCAGTAATGATTGTGAGATGCTGAATGAAGTTCATCAATCCTTGCATCTTGCTTTCTGTATATTGGATAGCCCATCTTGACGAGCTAAACACTTTTGAGCGTCTCTAAGCATTGAATTTGGTGTTTATTATGCTAAAAATAATTTTGAACTGTAATTTTTCTTCCTCCTCCGACTACCATGGATCTAGTTCCTTTCTAATTTTTTTTGACTTGAACGAAACCTGACTGCTGTGTGTCTGTTTCTCAGCGATTACCCTATCAGAAATCCCGAAGGCAAGTGAATTTTCTCCATTTCCTCAAGGTTCACGCCCCCTTGTGTCTGGTGTGCCCACAGCTTCTTCTTTTATTTCACAAAATGATAAAAGGAGCATGGAGGAACGCCCTCCACCAAAGGGCAACCTAGACGTTCCTAAAAACAGGTCTCAATATCATATTCCAGTTGCTTTTGAAACTCCTTTACCTCTAAAGCATCCTTGCGAAGGCTTCTCATTTTCACCACCACCTGCTGATAAGAAACGCACAGGCCCTCGCCGTAAGTTATTCAAACATAATTTCTTTTATGAAGCTTATGATGTTATTGGTCATGGTTTTCCCACTTTTGTTCAGCTTGTCCTGTATGTTACGTGCCTGTGGAGCATGCAATAGCCCTAATGCCAGCTACATCATCAATATCTCCCACTCTCAAGAATTTGATGTACGTGTCTGAAGAAGATCCCTCCACAGATGAGTCAAGTAGTGGGTTTAAATTTGGTGGACATCCCTCTATGAAGCAAAGGAACGAAGCCTTTGACGTGAAAGAATCAATGTCCGTGCATTGTGGGTATGCTTTTCCTGAACTTTTTAGCTTATTTGAGTAAATATAGTATGCTGACGAGGGTGAAACAAAAAAAAGAGGATTTTATCAGTTGAAACAAAATTAGCAGGGGCAAGGCATTGTCTTTTGTTTTACAACTTTCGTTTCTTTTTTCAGGATTTAGACAAGGAAAACTGTTCACCGCTTCCTTTGCTTCATTTTCAGAATTTACAATGTTGTCAATCACTTAGTTTCAGGAGAGGTTATGCTTGTAGAATGGCTTGTCGAGTGAAGAATCAGGGCTTCTTTTTTTTCTGATCAAACAAGGCTATGAATTGACTGATGTATTCCTGGACTGCTAATAAGCACAAGAGTTCGGACCTAGTACTTTCAGTTAGTCTGCATAAATCCTATAGCGATTAAGTGATGTCAAATAATTTTTTGTATTTAATTATTTTGAATCGTTAAAATGCCATTCCACTTGGTTGTACACTGTTTGTTTATTAGTTTATTTTACAGATTTGTCTATGGAGATAGGCCTGGAAATGGTACTGGCTTTGACATTGAGGTTGCTGATCTTCTTGAGATGGAACAATGCCATGGAGTTGTTGTTGCGTCTTCCATATTCGGTACTCTTGGGTTTCGTTTACCATATCTTGTTTATTATATTGAAGCTCTTCATGTGTTTCAGTTGATCAGGTTTTCTTTCTGATGAATAGGGAACTACGATATAATGCAACAGCCAAAAAACATAAGTGAAGCAGCAAAAAGGAGTGTGTGTTTTTACATGTTTGTGGACGAAGAGACCGCAGCCTGTATAAAGAATTCTACTACCCCGGGCAGCACAAATAGAGTTGGATTATGGAGTGTGGTGATCATCAGAAATCTTCCATATTCTGATCCAAGGCGTAATGGAAAGGTATTTCCTCTCTTTTATATTTCCATTGCGGATGGACCAGACTAAACTAACTCAAACACTATACCACTTGTTATAAATTGACACTTAGATGGGTCTAACGCAACATACAATTTAAGTTTGAGTAGGTGCAGGATTGCATGTAACCGGCATAAATGTTTTTAATTTATTTGAACCTAGGCTCTCGTTTCTCATTCTCCGAATTGGTGATATGGATTAGTTATTTTACCCTGCTCCGTTTGATTTATCCGTGAGCTATCTCTAGCAGCTGTATCTTATGCAGCATTCAAAGTCATCTATTACTCACTAGAACATAAACTAGCATGGCAGTAGACGTTTTACTTTTCAGATGTTTACCTTCCTGCCTTAATTGGTCTGCTTTTATCCTTTTTTGTGACACTGTTTTACTTAATAATGACTTACGCCATCCACTTTCAGCGGAATAGTGAGCTCTCAGAAATCCTGATATTTCGCTATGAAGTCTTCGACTAGTAATTTTCCTACCAGTATCATGTTATCTGACGTTGAGATGCTCGCTGCCTTTATTGCATCTTCTAATCTCACTAGACATTATGTCTAACGGGGTTTGTACTGTATTATGCCATCTGTTAATCTCTGTTATTTCTGTTGCTTGCAGGTTCCCAAGTTTTTACTTCATAGGATTTTCCCCAATGCTCGATTTTCTCTATGGATTGACGGAAAACTTGAACTGGTTGTTGATCCCTATCAAGTTCTGGAGAGGTCATTCTCGCTAAGTTTAGTTATTTGTTTTTCTCCCAAATGCTCACTTCTGCATACCTGCGATCTCAGTATCATGTTTCTTCGTCCATATCAACCGCATCAAGTCAAATCTCTATTCCTATTTGTTCTACGTTCAGAGTCCCAAATCAGAACCAAGCATGTAGTTATAAATCTTCTTCTGAAAATTCGATATCTTAAAACTGCTTCAGCCTTTATATACTAAATTATTATTATCCGTGTTCAGATTTTTGTGGCGGAAGAATGCCACTTTTGCTATCTCTAGACACTACAAACGCTTTGATGTTTTTGAAGAAGCAGAAGCTAATAAGGCAGCTGGGAAGTATGATAACGCTTCCATTGATCGTCAGATTGACTTTTACAAGAGCGAGGGGCTGACTCATTATTCCTCAGCGAAGCTCCCCATAACGAGTGGTACATACGTGAAGTTTTTTCATCTGCTCACTGAATTGGTCCTGAGACTGGAATTTCACCCCCCTAGTTTTTTTATTCTTTTCAGATGTTCCAGAAGCCTGCGTGATCATCAGAGAACACACTCCCATCAGTAATCTCTTCACATGTCTTTGGTTTAACGAAGTTGATCGGTTTACTTCCAGAGATCAGCTTAGTTTCTCCACCGTGAGGGATAAAATAAGGTCAAAAGTGAATTGGACTATTGAAATGTTTATGGATTGTGAGAGGCGCAACTTTGTTGTCCAGGTAAAACACATTTATAGATAGATAGATAGATAGATAGATAGATAGTTTTGTGTTCATTTAAATTAAAATAAACAGTCTAACAAATTAATAAACAATGTTCTGTCAAATATTCATGTCGTTTCTCGTCTGAGGGATTGAACTGAGGGGATTTTGCTAATTTGATAATTGTGGATCATGCAGGGGTATCACAGGGATGTTCTAGAGCAGAAAAGGGCTCTTGTTGCTAGCTCAGGTCGACCACTGGCTCAACTTGCGCCACCGAGTCCGCCCAAGGAGTTGCTACCGGAGAGTGTGCCCATCTTGAAGGTGAAAAAGGCTCCCATCAGACGGGGAAGAGAGATGAAATCTAGTTCAAAGAGGTGACCTCGAAGGGTTACTAATGATAGGGACAACAATTCGATTTAGCTGTTTTTTCTCCTTGGTTCAACTTTGTTTTTCCAGCTTCGGCACACATTCATACAGGGCTAGCACAGTTAAGTGGTATTTTTTTCTAGCAAGGATTTACACTCATTTTTTTAATTCTTACTGTAGACTCGTGCTAAATTTTATTGTAAATACTAATTAGACAATGAAAAGACCAAATTGATCCACACATACTCTCTCTCTCTCTCTCTCTCTCTCTCTCTCTCTCTCTCTCTCTCTCTCTCTCTCTCTCCCCCCTCCTGTGTTTAGGTTTAACCTTATTTTCATTTTGCAAGATATCTAGGTAGCCTTCTTTGGCATAAATTTTTTGTAGGGCCCTAATCATTCTCAGCCATGAGGCCCCGCAATGGCCACAGATCCCCTCTTCGCCTTTGGACAAGTTAGGAAGAAAGGGAACAGCAGGGAGAAGAAAAAAGCCAACAAGGGCCAGATAACTGATATCCAGGGAGTGCTCTTGGTTCAGAGCAGCTCAGAGACCAGGCTCTTGGTCAGATCAACAACCAGTTGGCTTGAAAATGCATGATCTTCAAATTATCAAGGTCGACAAGATCCACCAGGCCCATCGATTGGTGGCAACTCAAATTACCACACACTTATCAGTCAATCTTTGGCAAATCTTTGGGGGGGTTAAGTGAACAGTCTAGAAGGTTCAACATTGAACATCATGGAAGGAGTGGGTTGAATGGTATAAATACCCCTTTCCCTATGAATAAGTGGGGGTGACTTAAAAGAAGAGAGATAAGAGTGGAGAGTAGGGAACTCTCTTGAACTAATTTTCACATGTTACATTATTTTTCACTATTACATTTTTCTTGAATCCATTGATCTTTTCACTTCATTAACTGAGAGGTGAGGAGAAGATCATAATAGTGGTATCAAACCTTGTCCTAGAAGCATGGCACTAAGAATGTTAGAAAACCGACTAGAGGCATTAGAGAGAGATGTAAAACATATCAAGGAAGATCAGCAAAATACAAGGGAGGAGCTATAGAAATCAAAATCTGAATCAATAGATCTTCTACAAAAATTTAAGAATTTTTGTATGATCTTCTTTAATAGATCTTCTTTAATAGACAAATGAGAAGTTTGACGAATTTAAGAATTTGATATATGAAAAAGTATTAGTATTAAAAAAAGAGGATCCAACTACAAGTATGATGCCTTACTCGGTCAAGAACTCTTCAAAAGATGATCAATAGGAGATAACCAATCCATGATTAGAGGTATTAACCTTTGTGTCAACTCCAAATCACATTTCAAATAGAATTTGATAGACAAGAAAAGGGGAACTCTTTATTTTTACAAGAGGCAATCCTAAAGGATGGCTTCGATGTGTAGAGTGTTATTTCATGATCAACAAAATTTAAGAAAAAGAAAGAATGGAGGTAATCATCTTGTACTTGGATGACATAGTATTGGAATTGTATATTTGGACAATAGACCGATATATTTGGAATTAGTAAAAATTTTGGGTCCAACTTGAGAAGCATTTTGAAACTCTTATATCTAGAAACACATCAATCATTTCTTGACATTAAGCAAGAAAGATCAACATCTGATCCTAGAGAAGAATTCAAATGTTATCCACTTTCCTCCTCAAGGTGTTAGAAGAAGTCATAGAGCAGAAATTTAAAAAGTTTGAAACCAAAAATTCAATATGAGTTATTCAGAACTAAATACATTGGATTACTCAAAATTATGAATGTTTCATTGGAAGTATAAGAACATTACACATCCTATGCAAAGCATGCGATATCAATCTACTAAAATAGACAAGAATATAGACACATTCGATATCTAGTTACACACCAAGAAAAACAAGATTACCTATGTTAAGAGGAATTCTTATATCAAACAATGAGCGAAGGTATGATTCTCCCTACAAGTCAATGAATCAACATGAAGCAAAAAAATAGGGGTGAAAGTTATACCTTTACAAGGTATGTAGAGATGACAAATCAAATTAAATGATACAAAAGTAAATGAACACAAGATCTAGGGTTCATATTGTTATTGTGATAAAAAATAAAAACTTAGTCATCATTATAAGAAACTTTTTCACATCTTAGTCGTCTATTATGATGATAAATTGACCCAATAAGAATCAGAGGTTGATTAAATTGATCTAGAAGAATCATGTAATGATGAAGGAACATTACTCACTACTCATATATAATTGAATTATATGGCTAGACTTGCACAACTAAAATCAATGAAGTTAAAAATAACATTACAAGGACGGGATGTTACTATTATAATAGATTGTGAAGACACATAATTTCATATGTGAGTTTATTGTCGAAACTTAAATTACTTGTAAATGAATTAATATGATATGTAATCATTATGGATAATAGACACATAGTCAAAGGCCATGGTAATGGCAAAAACATTGCTCTACAATTATAAGGACTGATAAGTACCTATTAATTTTTAACTTAATAGGATAGATGCATATTCGTTGAGAACTATTAATTATGAATTTTTTGATGGATGGAGGGTAAAAACTATGAAAGAAAATGAGAATTTATCAAAAGTTGTTATCTCATTAAATTCTATAAAAAAATAATCAAGAAGAAGTAACCTTTATTATTAGATTGCATCAAGTAATGATGGATTCCTAGGAAATTATAAAGACACTTTTTAGTGAAAAATTAGAAGGTATTATCTATAGTTCATTTTCACAAGTATTTTTTCTTCTAATTGGATTGCCTCCTATAAAAAGGATAGACTATTCAATCCACACCTACCAAATCAATTACTTGAGGCCATATAGATACTCACATTATCAAAAGGATGAGATTGAGAAAATCATATAAGAACTCAAAAACACTAGTATAATTTAACAATCACAAAGCCCTTATGCTAGTTCAACAATTTTAGTAAAAAAGAAAGATGGGGGATGATGATTTTATGTAGATTATTATAAATTAAACAAAATAGGCATGCCCAACCATTATCCCATACTCATAGTAAATGAGTTACTAGATGAATAACATGACATGTCAGTATTTTCAGAACGTGATTTAAACTCTAATTGTTATCAAATTAGAATGAAGAAGGATGAAATTTTAAAAATAATATTCGAAACCTATGAATGGCATTACAAATTTATAATAATACCATTTATTTTATTGAATACTCCAGCTACTTTTTAATTATTAATGAATTAGTTTTTTTCCACCTTATCTCTGTTGACTTGTTCTAATATATTTTGATAACATTTTAGTCTATAGCCAAAATCAAGATCAATATAAAAAACACCTATCATAAGTATTCCAAGTATTGTGCAATAACTATCTACATGTGAATACAAAGAAATGTCAAATCGGTCAAGACAAGTTGGAACACCTTAGGGATTAGATTTCAGTCAAAGGTATGATGTGGTTCAAAAATAATAATTCGTTATGATAAATTGACCAATTCTAAGAAATATTTGAGAATTATGAACAGTCTTTGGGCTCATTGGTTACTATTACCATTTTGTGACGAGATATTCATCAATTGTAGTGCCTATGATTAAATTATTGAAGAAAGATTCATTTTGTTAGAATCAAGATACTCAAAATATTTTTAAAAATATTCTATTTTTATTTCATAGTCTAAAATTCATAAAAATCTTATTCTTTGAGAAAAAAATTAAAATATTGCCCAATATTATATTACATCCCTGTGATCGATCTAGAAAAATTTTACTATTTTTAGAAATTTTATTAAATTATAATTTATATATATTTTTCTAAAATAGTTCTTAATATCTAAAAATTGATATTTTTTAGTTTTATAAATTTTAAATTTATGTGATTTATTATACATGACTAACTTACATCAACCATCAAATAGGTAAATATATTTATTATCATTTTGGTCTAACTAAGACATGAGATAGTGAGTCTAACTTATTAATTTGCAACATATAGTTTGTTAGATCATATTTGAAGTTGATGTTAAGGCGTTGTAGTGAAGAAAAAGTAAAATGTCTCACAAAAACTTATGATGTAAATACACATCCATGATCTCATTTTTTTTTTAAGCATAGATTTTCATTGAAGAACTTGAAAGTACATGATTGATGATCAATAGGCCCTTCACAAGATATGCTACAACTATGGGGTTTATTTTTGTCTTAAACATTTTCTTCAAAAACTAATTAATGATATTTTCTTTCCCTAAAAAAGGTGAATGTGTTCTTCAAAATCTAATTGACCACATGATGGTGCTATGAAATACATTCTAGAAACATGGATGAACTAGTTATTTAAATTTTAACAATACCACATGAAAGCATTTGATAGAAATCTAGTTCACAATCTACTCGACCTAAACACCTATTTTATATTAAATCATCAACCTCATCCTTGCTCATCTTCTAATAATAGATCAACTCTATTAAAATATGATAATCAACTCTCTTCTCCCAGCTATAACTTATTCTTTATTTTTTCTTACCTTTTGGGTTATTATTAATACATAGCACAATCATTGTTTATAATTCTCTACTCATGGTTCTTTCATTATAAGGACATTATATAGTAGGATTGGACATTACTACAAATCAAATTTGAACAATCAATATATAAACAAATGTAAACTAATATCTAAGGAGAATTAGAAAATACACAACATAAAATTCTACTTACATATAATAATTCATTCCATACACCAGAGATTTAGGAAGATTAGGTATAAAATCTATAGATGATTTTCCCTCACATACTAGAGATTGAGGTGATGTCATGATGAAATCATGATGTATGATAAAAGTGTCTTCTTTGCATAGATAATGAGCCTCTTAATGACCTTCAAAACAACAATACATTATTCTAAGTCAAGATAAGCACTAGGCTAATATTATATGTATACATATATATTTGCAAGTTGCACAACCAAAAGTCATTTTACCTAGGTATAGATGACTAGACCTTGTAGAAAGTAATTTT